AAAATTGAAGGAATTAGAAAGCAAAAAAGTGTCATAAAAATGTCGGCGATGCGTAGATATTTGATAACATTGCCTTTTCTTTTGCAGTGATATTTTTGTAATGCCTCTTGAGTTAGGGATGGAAACAGATCAGATCAAGTCAAGTTTTGCCCTTAACAGATCAGGCCTATTTAGTAACATGTTAGCTTGAACTTGCCTTGTGGCCTGTAAATAGACTTTTTTTTTTTTTTCCAGTTTGAGCCTAACCTGTATAAAAACCTGGCTTGGTCTGAACCTGTTAAAAAAGCCTATAATTTTAAAATTTTCAAAGTGCATAGTAAAAAATTTATAAGTGAATAAAAAATGATAAAATAGACATACTACATAATAATTATTTTTTATTATTATCTTTTATTCAAATTTTAGCGTCATGAGTAATATTTTAAATCTTAATTACAGTTAAAATTATTAAAAATAAGTTATAATTATATATTAAAATTTAAAATTAAATAAGATATAAATACAAATTAAAAATTAAAAATAAGATAATAAACATGTCAGGCTAGGCCTGACAGGCTTAACAGGCTTTTCAAAAGGCCTAGGCCTGACTTGTTAGGCTTAACAAGCCATTAAAAAGACCTAAGCCTTTTTCTATTTTGAAAAAGACCAGGCTAGGCTAGGTCAAATACTTGACAAACTACAGGCCCCTGACAGGCCGCCTGGTCTATTTTCAACCCTATCTGGAGCGAAGGACAAGTCCAGAGTAATCGTTGCAAAAATATTGTCATCATGTATAAATATTTGGAAATATGAGGAGTTTTTTTTTTAAAAAAATTATCCTATTTATAGTGTAAAGAGAGAGAATTTTTTATTTTTAATACAAGTTGTCAGTTTACTTGTAATTTATTATTATAAACTATTATTTTATATATTAAATTGCAGTGAAGTTCAAAAATTATTAAATTTTAAAAAAAGGTTAATAAAATTATAATTTTTTTAGTTTTACTAAAATATGTTAAAAGTGTCTTATAAATAAAATTAGGAGAATATTACAATATCCCATATGTTCTTTATTGTGATTAAAACTTACTTGGATGAAATTGAAACAACTCGGTGTACATCACATTTATGTAATTTTAGTTTAATTTAGATAACAAAAGACAGACCAAAAATAAAAGAGACTCATTATTCAAGCAAGGGTCAACATTTTGGTATTATTTTGATTTGATGTTGTCAATTCAAAATTCTAAATAGGATGATAGGAGTCTTGATTTTCTCAGATATCATGGAAGTGCAGCTGAATGGGTTAATAAATATTTAATGGCCTCGGCGCTCAAAAGTCAAAACTCACAACACGAACATCGCCCCTAATCCGAGTTTCCGTTTGATCCACCTAGCTAGCTTAGCCACTTATTAGGGATTTAAAATTCAAAAGCTGTCATTAAGAATTCAAACCCTCGTACCAAATCTCAGACTCGTTTCAAATGATGTGACGCTTCGAAATGCAATAATATTTTTAAATAAAATGGCAATTTTATTTAAAGAAAAGTAAAAAAATGTTATTTCACATTCAAAACAACACAAAAAGGTAATTAAATTTAATAAAAAAATGATAAATATGTAAACAATACAACTTATTTTTTTAAAACACTTTTATTTGTAGAGAGGGTAAGGGAGAAAAAAATTAGTGAAAAAAGAGATGAAGGAGAATAATTAGAAAAAAAGATATAAATAAGACATATAATTGATTGGGAATAAAAAAAATTACATTAAATAATCAGGCAAAAAAGTGCATTCAATAATCAAACAAATCTAAATTGATGCTTATAAAAATTACAAAATCCCTTCAAAGATTTGATGCTTGTATTTCAAATAAGATGAAGTACATTATAAAGATTTAACTTGCTTAAGGATTATAATATGAATCATAACCCAATTCATAAATCACGTATGTGTAAATCTAACCATGGTTTAAAAAGGTGTTTAGCAACCTCCAAACCATGGTTTCAGAAGCACTTTTCCGTAAAACGAGGCAAATTCCTTCACATATTTACTTCGTAAACTATAAAAATACTTCTGAAACTATGGTTTGGTTTCTATCCAAACATCCCTTAAGTGTCTATTTGGGTGGCCCCCAAAACCATATTTTGGGAGGCAAAACCATGGTTTGGGCGAAATGTCACCCAAACAGCATCAATTTTGGGCTAATAATCTGAAACTATGGTTTGGGCCAAAACCATAGTTTCAAGAGAAGTGAATCCATTCTGCTTTTGGTTCAAATTGGAGAGTATGATTGTGCCTGTCAGAGTAGATTTCAACAATAATATGATTTTAACATTCCTCAATTATTTTTTATGTACATATTTAATCTTATATCTTATAAATATATACACATATTAATTACATTATCTTATGTATTATTAATTATGTTGATAAAAAATATATTATTAACAATTTTATTCCTTCAAAATAAAATATATCATAAAATCTATCTTTTATGTAATTATCATATTAACTTATGTTTTTTTTTAGTAATTTATGTATATAAAAAGTGTTTCTGATAACAACTATCCAAACACTCTTACTTCTCAGAATTACTTTTTCACAAAATTTATTCTTCACAAAATCTATTCTCCCCAAAATCTATTCTTCAGAAACTATTCTTCAAACCATGGTTTGGTTTCATCCAAACACCCCTAAAGCAAGTTTGTCATCCCCACCAACTAACCTAACTCGGTGCATAATCAGACAAGAAGCTCCAATATTTTGGAAAGATGTTTGGTAAACACACCTGTAGAGTTTTACTCCCACAAGGAAATGCCACCATGAAACAAAAGTATAATTCAAGATCTCACGAGGTATGCATCATTTGAGGTGTTGAAAAAAGAGATAATGCTGATGCTATAATCCAGCAATAGCAAAACCTAAAATAAACTTGAAAAAGGACAACTTCAAACTAACATAAATACCATATGCAGGAGGTACAAAGCAGAGAAGGCGAATGGCGAAGTGCTTCCTTTACAAGAACCGATGACTTGGGCAACCTGAATGCGAGAAGGCAACCATGGCACTACTCATTTCATGGTTATCCCTCGAATAAAACATCATTCTTCAAAGAGTCAAGCCATATTTGGTAGACGACTCAGAAATATGATCCAGCTGAGTATTGGAGATCCATATGCCCTCGTAGTTCCATTTTCCCAAGGATGCGCCCCACGTCGTTTTTTATTCCCCTCACAAATATAGTGATGTTGGGTAATGTCATATTATCCTACTTAATTAACATAATTAACAGGTTTATTGAGTTTCTCCTTTTCACCTATTTGTGCTTATTTAGGATAGTGTTCAAAAGCAATTATAAACACGTTTCATATAAGTAGAAATAAAACTCTTTTTAAATATTTTCTCGTGTTTTGTAAATCACAGTTAAAAAACTAAAAAAAACCTTTCATTTGTGCGAAAAGGTTGCGAAGCAGATCCGGAGAGATCACAATGCGCTACTCATCTGGCGGTGGGGTCGATTTAATTCATCTCATAATTACAAAAATTAACAAATAATTACGAGAACACGCCAAAAATTATTGTTATCTCCCAATGTGTATACGAAAAGTGTCTTCCAAGTTAGCTGCCGGAACACTTTTTATTTTGTGCCACCCACCTTTGCACGTGGCATATATTAACGACTCAAAAGCAAAAAACTCTGGATTCAATCCCCTTTGACCATTTTCGCTTTGAACAACTCTCTTTTTTTAAGAAGTTTCAGGTCTGAACAAGTAGCCAGGCACATATCTCATCTCTTTCTTTTAAAGTTTGGGAGATCCAAATCTAATAATAACAAATTCAAAGACAAAACGGAACTGCTTGCTTTTTTTGTACTATGACTTGTATTATGATGAAGTTAAATTATTATCGATTCATCTTTCTACGCCTTTGGGAACGTGGGACCCCTCTTTAACTTTGGTCCTGGCCTTTCGACCAGTCCCATCCGTCCCTTCCATTTATTTTGATGTGCTTCCATTACCCTCCAAACACCTCTCCACAATCACAATCATCCTCCTAGCTTCCCACTATCCCCCTTATCCCCCTTCCCCCTTTTCCATTTATTTTTTAAAAGAAAAATTAATCTTTTCATTTCAATAGTTTCTTCTTCTTCTTCTTTTTTTTCCGGCCTAATGGCTTAAATAGTTTCTATTGCCTCTAGTTCTAATTATAAAAGTTAGTTAACTAATTTGAGAAGATTAAAGAAAGAAGTTAAGTTAGTTATTTGTAATAAATATATGTTGTTTTTTCTAAAATATTCTTACTAATTAAGTGTATTGGCTAGAATTATCATTGTTAGAAAGACTATCTTAAAAAAATATATAAATATGAAAAACAATATAGACTAGGATCTTATATTTAGAACCAAAATAAAAATCAAATAATGTCTTATATTAAGAACCGGAAGTAGTATTTTTTACTGGATTATGACTCAATATTTAAAATTTTTTTAGATATAACTCAGTTTCTAAAATTTTGATTTGGTTATGATTCAGGTCATGAATTTTAATTTGACCTAATTTAATTCTTATAATTTTGACTATTTAAAATATCTGTCCTTATATTCTAAAAAATAAATTATATATTTTATAAAATTTAAGGGCTAATTTGGATAATTAAAATTATGATGGACTAAGTTGCAACAAATCAAATTGACTGATTAGGTTTTAACAAAGTCAAAAATACAAAAGATTCAATTGTATTGAGTGAAAATTTAAGGATCGAGAGAAAATTGACTCAAAATAATCTGAACACAACATTAATTTTTCCGTTAGTTTAATAATAAAGTAGTGGCATTCTCGTGAATGTTTAATATTTTGAGGGGAATTAAGTACACGCGTCCGCTGCTTGCTGCTCCTCGAAACGCGGCGCTCGCATTCTAAACCACGGTTTATAAATGGCCCCGGTAATTAACTATGGTTAGTTTGTCTCCTTGCTGCAATCAAACCACTTGTTTTATAAGCCCGGAGCCATAGATCCGAAAGCTAGAGGAACAAAACAAACAGAGCCCAGGAAATTTATAATCCACCGGAGAAATGGCGCTATTCCTGGACGAGGATGAGGTTTGGAAGTGTTCCAAACACCCTTCCAAGCGACGGAGGAGCGGAATTTGCCCTCTCTGCCTCCGCGAGCGCCTCCTCGCTCTCTGCCCTGAATGTGGTAACCTCCGCCCCTGCTCTTGCTGCGCCACCAGTTGTTCCTCTTCTTCATCCTCTTCGTCTTCCTTCTCGCGTTTCTCCGTCCACGCCACCGGCGTCGGTGCAATCGGCCGCGTACATAGCCTAATGGACAACGAGCCCGGCTTGCGTCGCTCTCGGTCCATGGCGATTCCGTTTCTCCGGTCTCGGTCCAGATTCTCCGGCAGCGATAGGGGTTTTGATCCCGATAGCACCGATGAATCTCCGGCTCTGAACAGAAGCAGGTCGACGAGGTCGTTCTGGTCAATGTTCAAGCCTCACAAGAAGGACAGAAGCGAAGTGCCAGAGGATCAGGGTCGTAGGAAGGTGTTAGCAGGGGAATCGGTTGGGGATGCGAATATGAGGACAGCGACGACGATGATGATGAGGTCGAGGTCGGTGGCGGTCTCGGACTCTGGCGGTCGGGAGCGGAGGCCGTCGGCTAAGGGAAAGGGATGGTTCTTTCCGAGTCCGATAAAGGCCTTCCGGCAATCGAAGGCATCGAAAGTAAATCAGGAAAGGTCTCCTTTGTATAGAGGTTAAAATTTTGATTCTGTAGATAGTGGCAAAATATAGAGCTTATATCGGAAACAAGAACTAATCATTTTTATTGTATTACACCACGTTAACAACCCAGCTAAATTAAACCTTACCATTCATGAAAGTAAGCGATCCATATTTGAATTTTGGTCCCACTTTTCATGCGGAACTAACTCCGCTTCATTTCTTTCCTTCGATTCATCATGTCAGATTTTGATTGTTTCCATTCTTGTTTATGGCGCTGTTTCTGGATGATTCTGGGTACTCACTCTTATTGGTGGATATGTTGATTTTTCTTTCCATGAAGACGAATTTCTTTTTTAAGAGGAAGGGAGCATTTTTAAACTTTTGACTATTTAATTCTCTTTCATTAATCTTGTCTAGTGTGCGTAAACATTTTAAACTCTGTTATTGAAGGGAAAAAATCCGAGTTACTAAAAAGCGTAATATCTTCTTTGTTAACTCAGCTAATTTGTAAGTAAAGAGCAAATCAATACATGAGAACTGGGGGAAGCAGTTTTCTATCAGTTTAGCGCTCTAAAGATTGTGTTTGATTTTAGTGATTTTTTTTACTTTGATATTTTAAGTACAAAGTATCTCAATTTCATTCTTCAAGCTTGTTTATTTCAATCGCAATGGTCCTACAGGGCTTTTTGGACTTTTTATCATTGCACTAAATTTGAACGTTGACATTAAAAGCATTTTTTTTGCGTGGAAAACACCAGGCCACATGAAAAGTTATATTTGTCTCAGGGAGTGAACTAAATAATTGGGAAAAAAAATCAGTAAGTTATATTAAATAGAAAAGTTTCTTTAAAGCTGTTTTTTTTTCCCCCAAAAAAGAAATCATTAACCCCTTCTAATTTAGAAGAAGACGATGATCAATGGAGCCCTCAAACCTCTCGGGTTCAAGTATTTTCTTGCAACTCCAACGATTTCTTGATAGGGTAAAAAGTACCTTCTCCGCAAGTTAAAAAAAATAATTACAAATAATTCGACGACTTTTTTTAATCTTTCGTATTTAAATACCATTAAAATTAATTTGCATGCCAGAATGTAAAAAAAAAAAAGAAAGTAAAATAACACAGTCTTTGAGCGTAATTTCTTCTCCACATTAAGAGTTCTTTGTGATGGAGCACCGGACTACTTAGGATAAATACCGACAATTTATCTTAATTATTGGGCCCAATATTATTATACCAAAACTACTAAATTGCCTGAGAAAAATAAATTAGAGAGGAAAAAATTGGGAAAAATGACCCAAAAAAACTAAAAATTACTAAATACCAAATAAGGAATGCTAACAAAAATTTGTTGTCATTTGCAAATTTAGTATTGTCAACACCAAAAACCTGATTTAGGATTTAATAATTTTTGGCTTCTTTTTTTTTTAAATCATTTTTTCAAAAAAATTTACTTAACTGTGATGTAGCTAGCAATCGATGCAGTGAATTGAATACTGACATGAAGATAATTGAATGAGTGGGCAAGAGTTTTTGGTGAAAGGTGGAAAGATGAGAGATCTTGTTTTGGTGGTAGCATTCGGAATTTTGCGAGAGGAAGAGATTGATGGCTTTTATTGTGTTGATTCCGCCAAATAACACGTCAATCAACTCTACGCAATTAATCTCATCACCTAGACATGTTTGGCCCCCTCACATTGCTCATCAATCATCCTTTCTTATCATCCCCTTTTTCTTTAAAAGAAAATCTACACAAATTTCATTCTGTATATACCACCACCCGTCCTTATCATAAGATTTAATTTATAATTGTAAATCACAAACTATACTTTATATCAAGAAGAGGAGGTAGTATTGTTTATTGACAAAATCATTACTTATTATTGATTTTAATTTTGTGTTCTACAAGGCCTAGCTAACATACATCCAAGCATTTGAAGCCAAAGATATTATCGGCTGATTATGTCCCATGTGGAGCTGAGTTAGATGAGTGGCCAATTTGTAACTTGGAATCCACGGGGACTTCAAGGGGGTAACTATAACTAGCAAGTTATAATATATGAATGTACCCCCTTGATGGGCTCTGTGATTGCTCCAATAATAATGTCATTTACATGTGTGTGAGTTTATATATATTGCATAAGATTATTATTAGATTAAAGTATATATTTGGTCCTTTAACTTTATGTAATATTTTAATTCAGCCCCTTAACTTTAAAAAAAGTATACTTTTAGTTCTTTAACTTCAAAATTAGTAGTTTCAAATGATAATTTTTTTTTTGTAACAATCATTGTTGTTTTGAATATTAAATTTAATATGTTAGAATTTAGTAATATTTTGTCAGCATTCAAAAACTTAATATCATCATTTTTTGTTAACAGTTTTGGGATTAGAGGACTAAAAGTATACTTTTTAAAGTTAAGTGACCAAATTAAAACCTTATGTAAACTTAAAGGATTAAAAGTATACTTTAGCCTTGTTATTAATAATTAAATGTTATATATAATTAAAATTATTATTGAGATGACAACAATATGTTATCGAAAACACAAATGATGATTAGCTTAATCAAGTGGCCAAATAATAAGTGCTAAAGCACGATGAACGTCGCTTACCTCTTGTTTAAGGGACAGATTCCTTCAAATCATCATTGGTGGAATATTTTTAAATGCACAAGAAACCACAGTCACTCTATTTTGTAATCAACAACTGGATTTGAGAGGGATATGTAGCACCCAACACATACAACTGCCTTAATCCTGATGATGCGCTTCTTGCTTTCGGCTACTAATACTTAAATATGAAACGATCATATATGTATATACACGTATAATTTATTATAGGAAATACATGAACATTGGTCACATATATTATAAATACTAAGGTTTTTTTTTTAAAAAAAAAAGTTTGGCATGACGTGGGGGCCCACATCGAAGTATATAAAATTATGTAATGAGAAAGGGGCGTTACAGATAGGAGAATGTTATCACGTGTCGCGGTGTTGACTAGTAGTGTGACACAACATTGGAGACAGAAGAAGCCATATCTAATTAAACAATGCAACATTCTGATGGTTCACATTGTGAGAACCAACTGTTTTTACCCAATTCACATGCTTGTACTTTTTCTACTGCATATTCAGATTCTTCAAGCTGATTCGAATCTTGGTAATTAATTTGTTGGATGCCCTCCACATGACTGTCTATCTGTCCAACAAAACAGCTTTTTTTTAAGATATGGACAAGTTACATCCTCAATATTCTAAAGTAATTTATGAATCATCTCACACCTTAAGTTAATTTTTTCAGTAACACCCAATGTTTAATAAATTTTTATGTATCTACTACTTTAAAATATTTTTTAAATTTCACTTACTATCATAAGTTTCGGGTACACATTATTGTTGAGAAAAATGCTTTAAGGACAAAGTTGAATAAAAAATACCTTAGTATGTGCAGTATGCCACCGGAAAAAAAAAATTAAAATGCTGAATGAACTACAAATTAGTTTTGTATGCCAAATGATACTAAAAACATATTTCAGGATAACAAGTGTTACTAAAAAAAAGTATCATTTTTGGTGGTTATGCAAGTATGTCCACTACAAAAACAAAAAAAAAATTTCAGGGACGACTTTCAACGGTGACATAAAATGTTACCCTTAAAAGTGTGACTTTCAATAACGATATTAAAAGTTGTCGCTAAAAATCTTACTTTCAGTGGCTGTCATAAATGTTGCTGTTAAAAGTGTATTTTTAGTGATGGCTTTTTAGATTTGCCATTGAAGATCAATTTTTCAAAGTAAGATTTTTAGTGGCGACTCCTAATTCATAAGCAAGATAGATTCTTTATAAACTATAATAGTTACTGTCGCAATCTGTTTCAACTGATCATGAAAAGGCTATGTGATATAGGTTACTCATCAATGATTAGTTCTCTGGTTGATCTCTCCCTACCATATATATAGTGTTCTAGATGAATGTGTAATAATTGCGGGTAAACACATAGATATATCATGAACGAATAAATCTCCCTCTACACGTTCATTTTCAAATAATAATGGCTTTAAAGTTGGCAGGTGCCTCTATAATAATATACATTAATATATCTTTTTCGGAGTGTCTGTGAATTTGAAGGGCTAGGAGCATTTCATTTATGAAGACTATTATGTGGACAATAGGGACTGTTTAAGAAAGCATAGGCAAGAATGCAACTTCTAGAAAAGGAAATTCATCTTCATTTCCGGAGCAAAAATTAAAGAAGCTATCTTTCCACTTCAAACATATATAATTCCGACCATAACAATTGACACACACATTATTGGCTATAAAGCTAAGAGCTAGGGAGGCGCATGATCTGCGTTAGCCTTCCTCCTTTGTTTCCTCAACTTGTTTTAATAGGTTAAAATCAATGAACAATATATAGGGATCAAAAAAGCATGAAACTCTGAACAAAGCCATAACTATCCAATGGGGTTTCCTAAAAATGCTCCATGGGAACAGAAGCAAGGGTACATGCCTCTATGTAGTAGCAGAATGAAGTTGAAGGATATACATATATACATGTGTGTGTGTGTGTGGAGACAATATTCGGGTTCTCACATGCGGCATGTGTTGACTTCATTACCAGAAATACTCCTCCGGTCCTTATTATAAGACCCAATTTGACTTTTTATTTGGTCCTAATTATAAGACCCAATCCATTTCTCTCTTATATTTATGTATTTTTTTCAAGATAATCCTTCTAATAATGATAGTTTTAGCCAATATACTTAATTAGCAAGGATATTTTAGGAATAACAACACTTATTTATTATAAAACCAACTTAACTTACTTCCTTAATCTCCTCAAATAAGTCAATTAGGTCTTATAATTAGGACCGGAGGAGTAATTAGAAGGCCACTCATAGTTCAAAAGTTATGTAACAAACAGCCAAACAAGTCGGTACAGTGAGATTGAAGCCTCAATGCATATTGCACACGGAACAAATCATACCCCATACCCCCATGGATCTATATCCATCTTTCTTTGCTTGAGGAATATCCTTGAAGAAGTAACATTTGATTTTTGAGGGGCCATGGCTAGCTTCTTCTATCTTTCTTCGGGTCACTTTCTTTCGTATAACTAGCCCTCTTGTCTTTGCTTTATATTTTTTCGATCCTTAAAGATATAGATATCCACCATGTGACGCGTGGTCCATATGCATGAGGCCTTTAATCTTCATGTGGAGTTGAATTGCTAAGGACGACGGAAATGATAGACTACTTCTGGTTCTAAATATAAGAGCTAGTTGATTAATTTAATTAAATTAAAAAAATAAGTTAAGTTAGTTATCTATCATAAATAGGTGCTGTCTTTCCTAGAATATCATTACTAATCAAGTTTATTAGCTAGAACTATCATTATGAGAAGGATTATCTTTAAAAAAAATAAATATGAAAGACAAAGTGGATTGACATATTATATTTAAGACAAAAAAAAATCAAACGAAATCTTATACTAAAAAACTGGAGGTAGTATATTGGAGATAGACACCACGTAGACAAATGCCTATAAATGTGACTCAATGAACAGTTCATATATTATAAGGGGAGAAGGAAAACGTGGAGGGGACAAAAAGATGGACAAGTGAGAAAAGTATTTTTCAATTTTCATGCCTTACTCTACTGCTTTTCCAAAACAAGACTTTCTCAACAGTCAAGAGATAATAATAATATCTTTCTTGGTTAAGTGAATTTCTCCCTGTTCTTGCGAAGGAGTTCTGAGTTAAGAAGATACTCGTGCGTACACGTATTGCATATTTACTTATGACGTATACATCTGGAGGCTTCTTTGTGATTGATAATAATATACCACATACTTCGCTTTGGCGTTATTGAAGTTTGTTTTCTTGTAGCTTTTGACTTTTCATATGCCTTGGTTTAGAATTACGTATATGCTTCTTCTTCAAGCATCCGACTTTTTATATAACAAACACACATCTATCACATCTCTTTGGAAATGGGATGACTGCCTTTTTAATACAAACGAGGTAAGAATGTTTATCTTCGTTCCTTTGACCATGAATGTCGTCCCTAGTTCCAATATATATATATATATATATATATTGCGCCTAAGAAGTCTGAAAAACCAGGTCAGAGCTATGAATTCGTCTTGATTTGTTTCTTAATTAGCACTATTATATATATTCCTTGCATATTGAATTAATCCATGAGCACGCAGTCTAAAAAAACCAGCTTATCGTTGTGAATATTGTCTTGCTTGGTTTCTTATAACACCATATAAAGTTCATACATGTAACACCAGCAGTTTTGTGAGGCAGTTGACTTTCGCAAAACTTACGCCAAATATTTTAGGAGATACACAGGATTCGATGCACTGAGAATTCATTAAATACGTATACATATATACACACACACCCACAGAGATATACATATATAGAGAGAGTCCAATTATAGATGGTTTCATCCGAGAAAAAAAAACCAGATTGAATACTAAACCATTTGAAATAGTGGTACAAGTGTCAGTGAGTCAAGTTGGGATCAAACAGGTTATATTAAAAATAATATAACTTAATTAAAAATAACAAAATATAATGATATGAATAATTACTAATGACAAAATATAAGAAAATATAATAACAGTTTGATTATAACAGTAACAAAGTATAACGATATTAAGAAGTTTGATCTTTACGATTCTTTAATAACTAAAATTAATAATTATTGACACAAAATCATCATTAAAATTCATTCAAATCTATATGATTGAAATATTAGGAGCTCAATGAACAAAAATAGAATTAATAGCAATATAATCATCCAAATCGGTTTCTATCGGTTTATCTCGATTTGACTGGATTGATACTGGTTCAACACCCAAACCAAATCAAGATCGGTTGAATCAGCTAGTTTGATCCTTTTTTTTCCCAATGGTTCCATCCCTCCCAAGCCCCAATAAAGGTCAAAAATTGTTTTCGTTTCATATAATAAAAAGAATGAAGAGATCAAAATCTTCGTCGTGCTCTTATTGGTTTCTGTTCACACAACGCATTCTATGTATTTCCAAGAGATTCATGAATCTCATAAAAACCAAAATAGAACGAAAAAAGCACGGAAGAAAGTTACTCCTATATATTTGACAATGTGCACATAAAGTCATTACATGTTCCCTTATTGCATAATCCAACACGATTATTAACAGCGACCAAGTTGGATGAACCCTATACCATCATTCGGAAAAATAAAACAGTTCCATATTATGGGACAAACCTTGTGGGAGCTGCCTTCACAATACAGTACAGCATCGAATTGAAGGCAAACATTCCTGATCCTAAGGGACCGGCCAATGTACAGATATATATACAATACCTGTAATTTGAAGCGATACTATTTCATGAGCTGAGGTAAAGGACAGAAAAAATCTAGGAGAATGGACGGAAGATTCATATGAATGTGGGATATTATGGAAGGAGAGGAAGAGGGGTTCAATTGTGCAATGCACCGACCCAAAAAGGAAAAGATGGTACACACCTTTTGGTAAACCATCCGATCGATGAACCTGAGCGGTAACTTTCGTAGCCAGGAGCCCAGCAAGATAAGCCACACAAACAAAAAGCCCTTTGAACATCGGGGCACTCCTTAACCAAATCCAACGTTGTTGTCCCCACCTTCCTCTTCACTTTCCCTCAACACCTCATGTGCTTCCTGTTGTCTCCTACACGTGATCCTGTCCATTCCGCATCTTCCTCTCACCTTATATTATTTTTTTCATCCTCGACTTTTGAATAGTATTATTTCTCTATAAAAGCGTGAAGTGAGTTTTCTGCTACGAGTGACTCTCTGTTCAACGTATTCGACAGACATACCCACACGAATGTCTAGTTATTTTCTTCATCATCGACTGATCAAGAGGAAAGTCCTCCTCGTCCTCTGAGCCCTCTGCCTTGCTCGAGAGCTCATGGTCATGGAGGCCTACGTGATCTCACGTGGTCCAAGGACCTTTACTTTTGAACGAAACCGGGCAAGGATCGTGAGATAAATATATTTCGAAGTGCATCTTTTTGTGAAAGAAAGAAAATAAAGGAGTACGAAGTGAAAAAAAAAATGATGAGAAAATCAAGTCATGATGATGGAAGCTCAAAGAGGGGCAAACTTTTCCATGACCACAACAGGGTTTGTGTGGGGAACTTTATTCTCTAGATTGGTGTAGTAGAGAAAGAGGGCGTAACGGAAAGGCCCCCATGTCTACTGAATAGAGTCATATCTTCCTCTGCCATGTCATTTTCCCCCAAACATCAGTTTCATTTTGATTAGACCATTCATGCCATTCCCAACTACCCTCAACAGTCTTTCCAACCCCATAATGGAGTCACCAATTTTCAATTCTTACCCCCCTCTTCCATACCTTCTGGAACCCCTCCTTTTAAAACAAGCCAGAAAGAGAAAATTATGGTTGTAATTCCACGTAAGCAGTTGTTACAACAAGTTTCGGCGTAGAAAAAGGATAACAGTGCATATGTTCACTTGTTATGAGGTTTTTAATGATTAGGTGATCTATTCATTAGACTGCGCAATGATGTTTCCCGAGAGAAAAAAGTCACCAGCCCTTCTTCATTTCTTCCTATAAGTCTCACGGACGCATCGTGGGCCTCAAAGGCCCAATTTTATCTGGCATCAAATTGTTCGAGTTAAAGATATGGGCTCAGCCCAACCCATACAACTGAGAAATGAACGTTGTATCTGAGCTATAAAGTTAACCAATCAGGCGAACTGCCTTCACCAGCGGCGATGTCTGAGGCGGAGAGTGAGGGAAAGGGCGAGAAACTGCGCCTGATATTTACGTACGGTACGCTGAAGATAGGATTTCCGAACCACTCGCTCCTGGAGGATTTGATTGGCAAGAACGACGCCGTTTTCAGGGGAAGCTGCGTGACCACCGAGCACTTCCCTCTGGTGTGCGGGTTGTATGGCGTGCCTTACCTCGTCCACTTGCCCGGGTCAGGCAATCAGGTCAAGGGAGAGCTGTATGGAGTAACAAGCCGAGGCCTGGCCCGACTCGATGAGCTCGAAGGAGTGAAGATCAAACACTACGAGCGCCGCCCTATTCGGGTGGCGATGGACGGATCGGGGGAAGAGGCGGAGGCAGAGGCATATTTCGCGCACGGCGGCTACGGCGAAGCCCTGTGGAAGAAGAGAGGAGAAGTTGGGATGAGCGAGTACACATCGGAGAATGGGTTGGATTACGTGAGGATGGAGCAGAGAGCACAGGACAAGAGTCTTGTTGAAGAGCTTTTGGAGTTAGTGGGCTCAGCTCCCAGTAGTGCTGTCGATTGAATTTGGGAGAAATCAACCAGAAATGATCAGTGGAAATTGTTCCTGCAATCATGGAGGAATTATTATAGCTAGCAGCAATATTTTTTTTAAAAAAAGGACAAAAAATTCTGCGGCAGCCTGTACTGTTTCTAGGGGGCTACTATGTGTGAGTTTCTTTTCCCCGAACGTGTATTATTACTGTAGTTAGCAGCAATATTTTAATGTTCACTTTTGAGTCATGTTGTTATTAATGGATGGATGCATACACCATTATTAAGTATATCCTCCAATTATGCTCTTGCTTAATGATTCAGGTGATGACATTGAATATGAATGAATTACTATTCAACTAATAATTGGTTGATTATTAGTACAAGTTGATCTCAGTGCATAACTGGCGATTAATCACTGTCCCTAGATATAATATACAGATGGATGCTAAAATTTAGCCCACCAAGGAGGTTGTTTGTATCTAAGAATTTAGCCGTACGTCCCATTCGACGCATAGATTTGCAGTGGCCCTAGTTACAAGAAGAAGAAGTTGCCATTTCTAACGACACCCATATACGTACGGGTTCTTATGAGTCCCCCAAAAATGTCATGTATTCTTTGGATCCTCAAACGAACCCTTATTTTGGCCATTCTTGCAAACCTTTTCCAGGATATTTTCGTATATACTATTTTCTATTCTTGATATCAGAGATGTTTGACTTACAAATTTTTCCAAAAATATATGTCTTTTTCTTGGAATGGAAAATAAAAAATTAGTTCCTAAACAAATTAATGATTCGGAATCCAAAACTACAAAAAAATTCTTATCCTTTTGAATCAGATGGATTGTTTTCTATGATTTAATTTGGTTATAAATATAAGACTCCAATTCAATTTGTTTCTTATGCTTATCTATTTTTTAAAATAGTCCCAATAGTAATTACACATATTAAAATATTTCATCAAATAACACTTGATTAGTAATGGTAGTTTAGGAAAAACAACATATATTTATTACAAACAACTGATTTAACTAATTTCTTAATCTATTAAAAATTAGTCAACTAGTTCTTATATTAAAGACTAGGTATAGATATGAGGTGGAGTATACGGATTCTGACCGTACGATGGTGGCTGATCATAAGCAAAAGGCGGTATGTTGGATTGCCCGTTGATGGTGGCACTAACATGTGGGCGTGTCCAAATGGAACAAGATAAAAGTTTCGTCTTTGTTTTTGTTTCGTGCAGCTATATCAGAAACAGAGAAGGAGAAGTGAAGCTTTTAATTTGTTCGATGGTCGCAAGTATTGGAAGCAGCTTTCTGTTAGTTGATGCTCATAAGACGTTAAAGCAACATTAATTATCCTTTGAAGGGCCTAAATCCTTATGCAAGCACAAAACAGAGAAGAAAGAAGAGCCAATATTAGATATAAACCATGACAAGAACTAATTAAACAGCGTGTCGGTAATACAGACAGCTGTTGGTTGTGCAAAACCTTCATGGTGATACACAATCCTTTATTTTCTGCAGCATAATGAGGACGGAATTTATTTGGCATGTATTATCAAGATAAGTGGTACATGTGGCACATAGCATTCAGGCTTTGGAAACGACACAGCTCCAACCTTCACCACATTTGCAGCAGGCAATATCACCAACCTCCTTCGTCTCCTCTTTGCACACCTTGTCCCCCTCGCTAAACGCGAAACAAAACCAAACCCATATCATTAATTGTTCCATATGCTAAGATTACTTCAATAATCTGAAATGCAAATATAAAGTATTGTCGTACATAGTGAGCGAGCAATTTTCATCACATTTAATGGATTTGCCGGCATCAGGGCCTGAGGCCTTGGTTACCACACATGTCCAACCCTCTCCAGTTTTGCAGCACACGTCTACTGAGTTGCCTTCAGGGGCGACTTCCCTGCTCATATATATATGATATTCAAACTAATCTCTAGTGCTATGAATCATGTGTGTGTGTGTGGGAGATACACGTACGTAGCAGTTTAGTATATTATAGCAGATCGATGGAGCATTAAGGACTCATACATAAACAAGAGTTTCAGTAGGTAAAGGTTAGAAGCGATACAGAGGAGAATAAGATGGAGTTAGGGGAATGATTACCTGAGGGGGACAGGGCTCTGAGACTGAGTCTCCATGTTCCTTCTTCTTCTTCTTTTTCAATATATGGATATTGGGTTGGCTTTAAGGGCTGTCTCTCCTGCTTATATATGGAGTTCTCCATTCTTTTTGCCCGCTGGGCGTGCCTCTCCTTGTTACGTGGACTTGTCTATTCTCATTTGGCCATTGGCTTCTATGCGATTCTGACTTCCAAGATCTTTTGTTCTTCGCCGTTTGGTTCTTTTTTTTTTTTTTTTTGGGGGGGGGGGATTCTTTCTTGTCACGTATAAAAACGAATTATATATGACGATAATTATTGGGATATCCACCTTCCATCGTGTGGACAAGGATTAAAGTAATCTTATCGATAAATTAGGTAACAAGACCATCATGGCAATTATGGCCTCTTTATCCCTGTTCCCTTGGCCTCTTTTTTGGTCCACTTGCTTGGTGTACCTATGAAGACATTTATTACTTGGTTTTTAATAGAATTATGGGGGATAATATCCCTCACACCCTTCTAGTTCTAAGAGTGCCAATAAAAATGGACGCCATGGATTGCTTATATATGGACCCTACTAGGCTACTGTTATCCAAGAACATCATGTCCTCCGACTCATCCTAAATATAAAATATAGAAGTTAGAATGTAAGATAACTAATTTGTAGTGATTAACAAAATTATTTGTAAAAAATATATATTAGTTTTTGTAAAATATCCCCTTAATCATTTGTATTAAAAATTACCACCTCCGATCCTTAATATAAGACCTTGTTTAACTTTTATTTTGGTCCTAAATATAAGACCTTAATCCATTTTTTCTCTCATATTTGTGTAATTTTTTTTTCAAGATAATCCTTTTAATAATTGTAATTTTAACCAATACACTTGATTAGTAAGGATATTTTAGGAAAGCTAATACCTATTTATTACAAATAACTAACTTAATTTATTTTCTTAATCTCTTCAAATTAGTCAACTGGCTCTTGTAATTAGGACCGGAGGTAGTATCTTTTAATGAAATCCATTTAATATGTATGCATTGAATGCAAATAATAAATTGAATTATTGAAATTTTAAATTTACAATTGAAGCAAATCTCTCCATCAGTCTCTCTCTATATATGAATATACTTTACCATAGTAAGGTATTTCAGTTTTGCAATCTTTATTTTTAATCAATTCTCCAATGATTCAAATTGGATCTTAAAATAATTCTTTCATTTTTTTTCTGTTTTTATTTTACATTTTTCTCGTCTTACAATTTCCCCACAAATCTATATAAAAATTTCGTTGATGAAAACATTTATTTGATTAATTAAAGCATATACAATATGCACGGCGATACATACACACAGTAACCCAAGTGACAAGTTCTTAATTATTACATACAAACCTTGATTTGCTAGAAAATCACACACACAGATACATGGGGATGCATAAAGTAACCAAAGTGACGAGTCTGAACATACAATAATATTATCCTTTATATCAGTGAAGAAGCACTATTCATTTGGCCTCCACAGCACAGGTGCGGGGTCCAGAGCATTCGAAACCCTTCTGCGCATCAGAAGGCTGAACCCTAGAAATCACGCAGCTCCGTCCTTCTCCGCACTTGCAGTTCGCTCCGCTCAGCGTCTCAAACCTCTTTCACCTCCTCTCCTGGCACTTTCGCCCCATCTCTGCAACCAAACACATATCATCTTTAGTGTTATATATATATGGAGGATCTGAGGATATATATATATTACATAAAAGCTATTGATGAAACATACACAGAGCAGTCGCAATTTTCGGCACATTTAAAGTAGGGTTTGCCAGCATCAGGGCCCGTGGTTTTGCTGATCAGACGTCCACTCTCTCCACATTTACAGTATATGCTGCCCAAGCAGCCTTCAACCGCCAGTTCCCTGCAAGTGATCATGATGATAGAAGCTCAAATAGTGGCAAAATTTCCATGGCCACAACAGGGTTTTTGTGTGGGGAACTTATTCTCTAGCTTCGTGTAGTAGAGAGAGAGGCGTGACGGAAAGGCCTTCCATGTCTACTGAATAGAGTCATATCTTCCTCTGCCACGTCATTTCTCCCAAACATCAGTTTGATTTTGGTTAGTCCCAACTACCTCAACGGTCTTTCCAACCCCATAATTGGAGTCGCCAATCTTCCATTCTTAACCCCCCGCCCCCCTTCCATACCTTCTGGAAATTATGATGTTATTCCACGTAAGCAGTTCATACAACAAGTTTCGGTGTAGAAAAGGTATAACAGTGCATATTGTTCACTTGCTATGAGTTTTTTAATGATTAGGTTATCTATACATTAGATTGCACAATGATGTTTCCCAGAGAAAAACTCATAAGCGCTTCTTCATTTCTTCCTTTGAGTCCCACGGACAGTTCTATCGGGCATCAAATATGTTGAGTTAAAGATATGGGCTCAGCCCAGCCCATACTACTGAGAAATGAACGATCTGTCCGAGCTATAAAGTTAACCAATCAGGTAGACTGCCTTCACAGGCGACGATGTCTGAGGCGGAGAGTGAGGGTAAGGGCGAGAAACTGCGCCTGATGTTTACGTACGGTACGCTGAAGAGAGGACTTCCGAACCACACGCTCCTGGAGGATTTGATTGGCAAGAAAGACGCCGTTTTCAGGGGAAGCTGCGTGACCACCGAGCACTACCCTCTGGTGTGCGGGCTGTATGGCGTGCCTTACCTCATCCACTTGCCCGGGTCGGGTCATCAGATCAAGGGAGAGCTGTATGGAGTAACCAGCCGAGGCCTGGCCCGACTCGATGAGCTTGAAGGAGTGACGATCAAACACTACGAGCGCCGCCCTATTCGGGTGGCGATGGACGGATCGGGGGAAGAGGCGGAGGCGGAGGCATATTTCGCGCACGGCTGCTTCGGCGAAGCCCTGTGGAAGAAGAGAGGAGTAGTTGGGATGAGCGAGTACACATCGGAGAATGCGTTGGATCAGGTGAGGATAGAGCGGAGAGCACAGGACAGAAGTCTTGTTGATGAGCTTTTGGACTTAGTGGGCTCAGCTCCTAGTAGCATTGTCGATTGAATTTGGGAGAAATCAGTCAATTAGAAATCGTGGAAGAATTATCACTGTAGCTAGTTGTAGCAACCTTTTTCGTTTTTTGGTTAAAAAAAAGGACAAAAATTGCTGCTGTTCCTTATGGGCTACTTTGTGCAGCGGACTTGTGTATTGTAGAACATTTCATGTCCTTTTAATTATTTTCTTCACTAATTGAGTTAAAATTTAGTGTATATGATTAAGAATATTTGATTTTGAGGCTGGTGCGCTCATCATTGATTGATAACTTGTTTAGTAATACACCGCTACCCTTCTGGCACACTCATGCTAGGCGAGCTACTACCTCTTGTCCATGATATGGCTAGCTATTGGTTGGAAAAAAATTATGGTCCCAAATATAAGATAAGATTTTGTCCGGATAATTAGTGCTATCATTCAGTTTTATTCCTATTAATTATAAGAAAGAAAGGAGAGAGATGAGAGATAATAAAAATGTAACATTGAAGGTAATTTTATCTTTTGTTAGAATAAAATAGAAAAACTCTAGCATTTTAGAATAAATTTAATCACTATACTTCTACTCCCTCCGTTCCTTATTATAAGAGGCAAATAACCAAATTATGTTGATAAAAAAATAGTTAAAATTAGTTGAGGACAATTAATGTGTAAAAAGTATAATATTTTTTCCAACAATGCCCCCATTAATAAGGAGAGAGAGTATGAGAGAGAATAATTAAATTATTAAAAGAAAGAGAAGTGGGAGGGAGAGAGACTGGGAGAGTATGAGTTGGGGACAAAATAATAGAGGTAAATAGGAAATCAATACAAAAAAATAGAGACAACTTTTAAGTGTCTCTTATATATGGGAACATGTCATAAGCATCAGATGTCTCTTATAATAAGGAACAGAGGGAGTATTTTTTAGTGTGTTAGAAAAGTTAACCAACTTTTATATTATAGACGGGGGGGGAGTAGTGATTTAAAAAAAAAAAAAAAAAAGGAAGCTGGGATCACTGAGTCCATGCATATGAGTCATTAAAATTTAAAAACGCTAATTAAGCATAATTAGCATAACAACACACACAGAAATCCAAGCGGCTTCCATATTCGATTTGGCCCACCAATCGTAATGGGGACGCCCACCGACACTTCCCCGCCACCAAATATTCAACTTGATTCCACCAACAAACGCTCCACTCTAAGTTTCAGACTCATCGTAGTATTTCAATAACTTGACATGGAAACCCCCCCCCCCTTCTTTTTGCCAACAATATGAAACTTGTACATGTGAATGATTCCACACTTTAGTTGTAAATATGGATTTAAATAATAATAGAAGATATGAAGAAGCATTTGCCAGCATCTGGATCCCTCCCTGTTCTTGGCTTCAGCCGTCACTTCCGTTGCTATTGCTAAGTTGGGACTTAAATAATAATACATTCATATGCATGCACACATGGAGTGGCACTTTCCCCATGTCACTTTTAAGTGTTAAGTTGTAAATTTACCTCAAAATTTTTTGTTTAAGATCAGTGTCATTCTGATTTTTTTTTTTTAGTTTATTGTCATCTTGAAAGTTTCAAAATATAGCAATATTGTCACACCTTGTTAAAAAATTGACGTCAAACATTAAAATATTGGTATTGACTATGTTAACAGTATGGGGTAGCATTATTCTATTTTAACACTTTTGAAACCAACTTGTAGTTCAAAAAAATTTTGGGGCAACATTATTCTAATATTTTTCTGAGTAAATTTGCATTTTAACCCAATAATTAAATCACATGTTACATATGACTAAAAGCCAGCCAAAGCTTTTAAGTGTGAGGGACAACTTGCACATCATTAAGAGTCTATTCGGGTTAGCGATCATAGGTCTAAAAGCTCCTTATTTTAGTTCAGAAGCCCGTTTCAAAATTTGATTCTGCTTGGTTGAGCTTTTGGCTCATTCTACTTGTGGGTAAGGGCCGTGCTTCATCGCCAGCTCGCCTCTTTGCCAGCTCGAGTGTTCGCCGTCGCTGCTCTGAAACTCGACACCGGTGAGATCGTCCTGGCCTCGCGAAAACAGGGGTGGTCGTGCGTTTCTCGGCTCGCCAAAACCAAAGGAAGCTCCGATCCATCCATCCTCTGTCTCCAATCTTCGTTCTTCAGTTCACCCGGTGAGCTCTCTCTGGTGATTGCCCAAAATTTTGTTCGTATTTCCTCCATTCATTGATCTATCAGCTTCTTGCTTATGATTCTGGTTCGGTGGTTCTGATTCGGTCCCTCCTCTGTTTTCGGTCTGTCATCCGGAAGTGATATGAATTTTTTTTCAACCGTGGCTATTAGTATTTTGACTGTGGTATGTTGAATTGGAATGATTTGGCTGTATATCCTCTTCAATTGCAAGCTTCCTCTCGGTTCTATTTTTGAACCGTGGCCTTCGATTTCAGCTTTGTATGCCTAGTGGATCCAAGCGATGTATAATTGTTGTCTGGATATTCCTTGGTCTTCCTTTGCGTCATTCGGCGGATTTGATCAATGGTTATTGCCGAAGATCTTGTTCGTTTTTGCCATGGATTGTTTCGGGGTTTATCGTGTTTTTGGATTTCTTTAATTGAGCTTCATGTGCTGGGGATTATAAATGGTATGTTCGTTTGGTAAATTGGTTCTGATTTTATGAAACAAAGAGGGAACAAATTATGGTAATCAATGTCTGGTTCTGGAGGCAGGGGACGTATATGGATGAGAAAGTCTGGCAATTGTTATATAAATTCAATGCAATTTGTTTTTCCTGCTGTAGTCCAGATTTCCCCCGGAGAAGAAGCTGTGAAGTCGAGACTTTGGTTTTTTTTTTTTTTTGCCGTGGATAGTACTTGTGATAATGAACATTATTTGTTAAGAGTTGATCTGATTTGGGATGAGATAAGAATTGTATTGTTCTGTATTGTTGTATTAAGGATTTTGATAAATTTATGGCCAACTTTTGAGAGTGAGGAAAAATGAAATCACAACTGAAATCCATGTATATATATTGAAGGAAGTGATTTGTATTTTGGTCAGAGGTTTATGTTGGTAGTTTTTTTATTTTCGGTTGACAAATCTGATAAGGATATAATTTTTAAAAATATTATGAAAGGCTTGTGCAACATGTTATTTTTTAAAAACAATAATGTGCTTTATAATGTTATTTAATTAACATGTTATTTTGGACGTTTTAAAATTTTTAGTATTTTGAAGTAAAAACAGATAATGAAGTTTAGAAAGGAGGGGGTGTATTTTTTCCAACCATGTAAAATTAGAAATTTTTTGTGTTTATTAATTTTTGTCACACTTGGTTTGGTAGGAAGGAATTGAGATTTAAAATGTGATCAATTTTTTCACCTATTACAGTAGACAATATGATTTTTGTTATTTCAATTGATTTTGAGTTGATTAACCTGGGATGACTGAAGAGTTATAATTGTGCTATAGCATAATGCGTAAGAATACGGTGAAAGCTTCCTGGGACCTACGAACCACAAAAGTGTTTATTGACCTCTGCATTGAACTTGTGCAACAAGGGGAAAGAAAAGGTACTAGCTTAACAAAGAAAGCTTGGGATATTCTTGGTGATAACTTTACTGCCAAAACTGGAAGAGTGTATGAAAAAGGTCAATTTAAGAATAAATATGATTCCTACGAAAGGAGTGGCAGACATGGGATAGGCTGCTTCGTGAGACAGGATTGGGATGGGATACTGAAAGGAATACTGTCAGTGCAACTGATGATTGGTGGAGAGAGAAAAATAAGGGTAATTATTGAACCTTTTGATCTTACATTTTCTCTACTTGTTAATGTTTTGTGTATATTTACTGTTTTTGGAATATTTTATGATATTATTGGTGTCTAATGTGCAGGAAGTTCCAAACTACGAAAAATTCAGAGAAAGAGGACTTCAATTTAGGGATGAATTGACGCAACTATTTGGAAGTGTGGCTGCAACTGGACCACAAGCATGGGCACCTTCTTCCATGACACTTCCAAGTGAAGGAACACCGAATGAAGATTTGGAAGAAGGGTCCGGAGATAGTGATGAAATTTTAGGTGCACCAACTGGTATAAGTGGGGAATTTAACACAGTGAACTTCAATGATAATAGTGGAGGTAGTGGAGGCAACACTGAATTGAGACAGGATACCAGTGGTGGGGGTACAAGCAGAGGTAGGAGTCGACCTAGTAGCTCACTGGGGGTCAGAAGGAAGAGTGAAGTCAAGAAGAAACGCACATCTCCCTCTATGAAAATAGCGGATGCAATTAGCAAGATTGCTGAAACAAATATTTCTGAGGCCGAGCGTGGAAATGAGGTCATTTCACGAGCAGAAGCTAGAAGGTTGGAAGAAGAAGCGCGTGCTTATGAGGTTTCAATTAGGGGAGTCCTGTCTCACCTGAAAACAGTTCCTGAAGTTGTCAGTGATCCTGATTTCTTTAGACGGTGCACACAACTCCTTATGGAACGGCAGGATGCACGAGAAATGTATGCAGCTCTGAAGGATCAGAAGGAACAGCTTCTACCCATTTTAGAGCATTTTACTAGGGATTTATGACTTGTTTATTATATTAGACAGTTCCATATGTGTATGTTTTATGTGACCAGTGGATTGTTATATGAATCAAACAACTCTGTAACTTTTATAAATGTTTCGTAATTTCTACGTAGGAATTCTAAACTTTATGTGTATGTGCACAGGATAAAACGAATATGGATGATGAAATTAAACATGTGGAAGAGCATGCTAAGGGACGGAAAAAAAGAGTTAACAAAGTTGCAGCATTGGTTGGTGCATACGCTACTTTGAACTTGTGTAAGGAGCCTCGGCATACAAGTGCTTATACAGGCTGCATATGGGTAAGGGATGTTTTAGATGGCAACTCCAGTCGTTGTTATAACATGTTTAGGATGGAACGAGATGTGTTCTTAAGTCTGGTGGAACAATTGCAACAACATGGTCTAAAAGAAACTAAAAATATAGGGATACATGAATCAGTTGCAATGTTTTTACATACCGTTGGGCATGCACTTAGTAGCAGAATGCAGCAAGAAAGATTTCAACATTCAGGGGAGACAATTAGCAGACATTTTCATAATGTCCTAATGGCATGCTGTAGACTTGCCATGTCTAATATCAAACCAAAAGATCCAACATTCCGGCATGTTCATACAAAAATTCGGTTTGGTAAATACTGGCCTTTTTTTAAACATGCTATTGGAGCAATTGATGGCACACATGTTTCCTGCGTTGTCAGTGCAACAGATCAAACTAAATTTATCTCTAGGAAAGGAACAGTGTCACAAAATGTCATGGCGGTTTGTGATTGGGACATGTGTTTTACTTTTGTCTTGGCCGGATGGGAAGGTAGCGCACATGATGCTCGGATATTTGATCATGCCCTCACAACTCCTTCAATGAACTTTCCCCATCCACCTGAAGGTATTTTTTTATTTCCTATATTTTTTTATATTTAGCTTAACAAACATAATTTACAATAATTTCATTTTTTATATAGGAAAATATTATTTGGTGGATGCTGGATACCCAACACCGAATGGATATCTCGGCCCATACAGACGGGAGCGTTACCATTTGCCTGATTTTCGAAGGACATCTGGGTTTGAAAATGACAATGAAATCTTTAATTATTTCCATTCAAGTTTAAGGAGTACAATTGAAAGAACTTTCGGAGTTTGGAAAAAAAAGTTCGCAATCTTACAAAACATGCCATCTTATGATTTTGAAACACAAGTTAAAATCGTTTGTGCAACGATGGCTATACATAATTTTATTAGAACGACATCTATTACTGATCCTGGATTCGTTCAGTTGGAAGAAGAAGGTACTTATGCAGAAGATGATGGTGATGGGGTTAGATTTTCACGTATACATTCATCAATTCAATCTTCATCTTACATGGCTCAGGTTCGTGACAGCATAAGAGACGAACTTGTTAATTCAATACGAGGATAGTAGTCATGTCTTATTTATTTCCTTTTATCATAGATTGTAATATGTAGTTAAAAACAAAACCTATTACAAATGCTTTGTATCGATGCATCATCTTAATGATTATGACACTTCTTTATTTATATTTCTCTTATTAATATTATGCCTTATATTCTCAAGCTAATTATTACTTACTTGAATAATTAATAAATTATTTTAAGACGTGTTTATTCTATTTTGCAACAAAATAATTCATCTTCTCTAAAAATATTTTTCACTCTTATATTTTATGAATATATATGTGTGGTGACAATTAATTAATTAATTGTATTAAACATCAGAGGTTATTATACATGTAGTATGTTATTACAAAAAGTAGTTATGAAAAAATGTTATGGGATTTCACGTTTACAATCTTTAAACAAAATTAATATTTTTCTGTTATAAAAAAATCATTTTTCTATAAACATATTTAATATTATGTTTTATAAATATATGTACACATATTAATTATGTATTAATTATATTATCTTATATATTATTAATTATGTTAGTAAAAATTATTTCATTAACAATTTTATTTCTTCAAATCAAAATAAATCATAAAATCTATCCATTATATAATTATCATATTAACTTATACCCTTTTTGGTCATTTCCACATGTCAAAAGCACTTCTGGTAATAACTATCCAAACACTCTCACTTCTCAGAATCACTTTTTCTCAGAATCTATTCTCCACAAAATCTATTCTCCAGAATCACTTTTCCAAACCACGGTTTGAAGTCATCCAAACACACCCTAAAAAGTGGGATTCAGACGCACGATTTGGATAAACTAATCTAAGCTGTTTTTTGAGTTTATATATCATGCTTATGGTTAGTGGAGCACGCTTAAAATATATTTCAATAATTGAATTTCACTTCTTCCTGTTAAAATAATTTTAATTAACTATATTATGTAAATTAATTTTTTTATCATTTTTTATTATTTAATAAAAGCCATATCTATTTTGATAATTTTATAAACTAAACTTATTTATTTAATTATAATCCAAACAACTTTTATCTAATCTAACTTTTACAAACTAACTTTTATAAAATTCAATCCAAATATAAAATTATGTTACCAATTTAACTTTACCCAACCTAATTTCTTCAAAAATAAAATTAAAAATAAGTCACCTTTTTTATACCATGAATCTAAATAGACCCTTAAAACGGCAAGATATTGGATCTTTCCCCTACTTTCCTTCATATGTTCATGCTAATCTGAACCCTCTGATCAATAGTTCAACTCGCTGCCAAGGCACGTCCCTGACAAGAGATCCTCAAGCTTTTTGGGTTCCTTTTGCAGAACTGTTATCCATAACGAAAGAGGATGCTTAAACAGAAATGCCAATCTCCAATCACAATTCTCCACTAAACATTAGAGAGTTTATAGGGTTCAACCAAATGCTTCCGGCTCTAGTTATCTATTGTATTGGACAAAGAGGCAGCGGGTGCCGAAGACGTTCTACAAGAACCAGCAATTAATGGCCTTAGTATTCTTTGGATCCTTAAACCCTCATTTAACTTTTGCCATTTTTATAAACCTGTTCCAGGCCATCTTCACATATGAGGTGGGCCATAGGGAGTCCGAACAATGGTAGCTATATATGTTGGTTTTCCATCGCTGGTTGCAACATGTGGGTGTGTCTCAATGGGACCAGATAAAAGTTTTTTTGTTTTTGTTTCGTGCAGCTATATATTATAGTAGAAACAGAGAAGAGGAAGTGAAGCTTTTAATTTGTTCGTGGCAGCAACTACGGAAGCAGCTTTCTGTTGCTGCTCACAAGACAAAAAAAAAAGCAACAATCATCCTTTAACACTGTAGATTAAGCATAAGATGACATACATACATATATAACAACAACAACAACAACATTAATATTAATAACCCAAACGATGACAAGTTCTTAATTACATAACAACCTTGATTTGCGGGCAAATCACACACGCAGATCCATGGGGATACATAAAGGAACCGAAGGGACGGGGTTTGAGCATACAATATCCCTTTATTTATTTTTTTGCAGCCAAAGTAAAGCACAGACGTCACAGATAACTAATACTACCTCCTGTCCTAATTATAGGGTCTTATAATAATTAGAATCAGAGGTAGTATTATTTTAGTGATGAAGTGTTATTCATCAGGCCTCGATAGCACAGGTGCAGGGTCCAGCGCATTCGAAACCTTTCTGGGCCTCAGATGGCTGAACCCTAGAAATCACACAGCCCCATCCTTCTCCACACTTGCAGTATGCTCCACTCGCAACATCTCCTACCTCCTTCGCTTCCTGTCCTGGCACTTTCACCCCATCTCTGCATGCATCACATACAAAATACCACTTTAATTAATACTATCTGATATTTAATATAAGAGCTAGTTTGATAGTTAATTTAGTCTTAAATATAAGACATAAATTCACTTTGTAAGTTATTATTGATGAAACATACATAGAGCAGTCGCACTTCTCGCCACATTTATAGTAGGGTTTGCCAGCATCAGGGCCTGTGGTCTTACTGATCACGCATGTCCATCCCTCTCCACATTTACAGAACACGTTGCCCAAGCTGCCTTCCACCGGGACTTCCCTGCAAGTACAGTACAGTGATATATTAATCTGATGAAGCTCTTTAAGAAGACAAGATCTCTCAAGAGGCAAACGTTAAAGCGAATCGGAGTTAGGAAAGAAAACCTGATTTGGCTTTGAGATGCCATCTTCCTCGATCAGCTTCTTCGATATTTGGTTGGTTAATTTCATGGGACTCCCACCCTCTACTATTTATATATGGGTATTATACTTTCCGTTTCATTTGGCACTTCGCTTCTCACATGAAAAAAAAAAAAAAGGAGGAATATTTATATAGCAGTGTTTGTGTCATGCATGACGTGAGTTGAGATACCCATATAAAACTATAAATCTTAAATAATGCTCCTCATAATTTTTTCAATGTGAGTGTCAGCGGACTTTGTAACTTTCTTGTATACTCTATTTTTTTTATTTTATGGCTTAACCTCCTTTTTATATTCTAAATTAAAAAATGTTTTCAAAACCTCGTCTAGTTTCCAGGCTTATTATATTCTAGCTCCAGATCATAGATAAAAGTATTGTATGCATATATTGGCCATAGTTAAGCCAAGAAGAAAGGGCTTAATTTCTCTCATGTAACGTTAAAATTTTAAATGAAGTTTACCAATTGCAAAATTATTTTGAGAAAGCCACCTAATTGAGCTCAATAATACTTAAATATGACTTAATAATACGTCAATAATTGTATAAGAATGTGTTTCCTTATCAATTACGCCAATTAATGTTAAATTAATCTAATCAGTAATTGATAAATCAGCCAAATCATGTTTAATATAGAAAATTCCAAATAAGTTGAATGATTGATAAGACGTCGTCACAGTATAGTCTAGCATATTATTTTTGAATTATCACGATACGCGCATAAATTAATCAAGTGCAAGGACCCGCTCACCCCACTCGTGGTCCTTCAAATAAAATTGCAAATTTGTCCCAACTCTGTGTCTCGTTTTTAATTTGAAACCGTTTAGGTCATCATCACTGTGACGAGCACCTTCATAATTGTGGTACGATTTGCATTGTCCAAAAATAATTTCAATAGTTCAGCTTTAAAATTAATTTTGAATAATAAAATCATTTATTAGTGCGTAATGGGCCAGCAACCGCAATCATATAAGCATAAGTCACAGCAAAAAACCAAGGTTATTCAATAAAAGGATCAAATTGGCCCAAAACGCGGAGGTAGAACGATGATTTAGGGGAATATATTCGTGGGTGTTTGAAAAACTTTTCACACGCACTTAAAAATAATTTTATGCAAATTGAGGCAAAACTCTTCTTATATATTTACTCATAAAATTATTTCTAAAAAGCTAATTAAAACACCCTCAAATAGCAACATTAACAATGTTTCAAATAGACTTCCTTTTAATAGAATAATACTTGTATTTAAATAAAAAAACAGCAATATTTTTTATAAAAAGAATTAACAAACAATGCTGCTGCAGCCTGTAATTACGGTTTCTAGTGGGCTGCTTTGAGTAGTCAATGGACTGGTGTGTGAGTTTGTTATCAATTGGATCAGTTACGCATCAGAACTCTTGGTGTTCATTTATGAGTCAATTTGTATGAATCTATGAAGTATAGAGCCAGAAAAACAGACCGGCCTGCTGAGGCCTGAAAATTATAAGGTCGAGCTTGAAATGTTTCCTGTCAAATAAAAACGAACTTATAAGAGGTCAAGGGCTTAAACAGGCCGGCCCTGCAAGGCTGCGGACTGACCTGTTAAAGTCTTTTTATAATTTTTTAAAAATTTTTGTGTAATTCTAATATTATTATTATTTTTACATTATTAATGATATTTTGAATATTTAGTTATTATTATCATTTTGAAATTAAATTTCACATAATGGTTTGATTTATTTGGTTTTAAACAATAATTTGTCCAATTAAATTTTAAAAAATGGGTTACTTTGGACTTTAATAGTTATTTGATTTGTATTATATGTGTTGATATTTTTAAACTATATATATTTGATAAGAGAGTATTTTTGTACTTATATAACTTGTGATTCTATAATTTGAATTAGAAATTTATGAGTTTCAACAACAAAATTCCTATGAAGAAGAAAAACTTGATATTTTTGCTATGAAAGAAGAGCATACTTATGAGAAGAGTAATTAATTATAATGATGATGAAGTTTTAAGAAATTAATGATAGTGTTTGTCTATTACACAGTTGCACTATTGATAAAGGTGGAAACAGGCCAAGTTAGGCCAGTCCTTGCTCTTAACAAGCTAGGCTTGTTTTGTAGCACATCGGCATGGGCTTAGCCTATGGCCTGTTACACGCTTATTCTTCAGCCTGAGCTTGACTTGTATAAAAGCGTAGCTTGGCCTGAAACCTATCAAAAAGCCTACATTTTTTTAAAAAAATTTAAATTACATAGTGATATGTAAAAAAAAAAAAAGACTAAGATTAAAAAAAGTGTACATAATTAATTTTTAAGTCTTGTCTTTTATTTAAATTTTAGTGTCATAAGTACTATTTCCACCCCTAAATATTGATGGAACTTTTGAATGTCATTGTCTCGTTGATAGATGTTTTAGATGTTGAAGGATATTTATATATAATGATATTTTGTATTTGTGACTTAATTTTATTCATATTTATGTCTTTTATTAATAATTTCATTAGTTTGCTTTCATTTTTTGATAAAAAATATGAGAAATATGAAAAATAGAATTTTTTTTCTTAAACAGACCAAAAGCCTGTGAGCCGACCCTGGGCCTGTCAACTTAAAGGTTAAGCCTAGCAAATTGGGATATTTTTAAAATTTTAGCCCTGATGGGTTGAGTCGGCCCGTATTCCCACCTCTAATGAACTAGCTAATATTATTTTTCAAATGATATTCTTAAGACCCAACTAATTAAGTTAATCGTTGGCCAAAAAAATCAAGTTAATCACTTTAATTGATGAGCATACCAGTATTACAAATAACCTCCATTTATGGTCTTAAAGATCCAGATAATAAAATTGAATATTAATGAATTTCTATTCAATTAGTAATTGATTATTAATATAGTTTGATCTCACATTCTCAATGAATACTTGATGATTAATCACCGTCCCTAAATATAATAAATAGTTGTTTGGTATCTGAATATTTATTTTTGTTTTTTCCCCAAAATCTGTCTCTCATTAAATAGTGATATTTTTGAAAACCGGAAAGATCATTTATTGAGGGGACATCATCGAGGGCTTGTTTGGTTCTTGTTTTGAAAACAATTTTTTATTTTTAAAAACAAAAAAAAACTTATTTGATAATTTGTTTTTAGTTGGTTGTTTTAAATAGAAACAAAACATACACTATGTTTTTAAAAACTAAAAAACCTAACAATTTTTAGATGTTTTCTTGTTTTTGTTTTAGTATTTTTATTTTTTGTTTTAGAAAATTAGAGAAACTTTCTTTTCTTCTTACTTACTGCCCACTATTTATCTATGCCGAGCCACTGTTTACCAAATTAATTTGAAATGTGACTTTTTAAAATAATTATCCAAACATATTTTACGTTTTTTCTATTCTCAAAGCTTGTTTTCAAAAACAGTTTTATAAAAGTGTTTTGACAACAGAAAATAAAAAATAAAACTAAACAAGCCCTAAATATCGGTATTTTCAAAAAGATGATGGGATTCAGAACTTCCTCCACCTCCAGTGCTCACAGTCGGAGAGAAACATTTTCACTTCCCTCCACTTCTCTTCACCTTTTTATTCTCATATAAATTAAACGGTTAAGATTTAAGATCTTATATAAAAATATTATTTTAATATCAAACAACAAAAAATGTATATAAATAAATTTAAATAATTAATTTGATCTAAATAGTGCACATCGTTATATTTTTATTAAAATATTTTACACATTTTTTAAATTTTTCATAGGATATTAAATCTCAACCATTTAATTGAAGTGTATCTGATGGCAAGAATAAAAATGTGGAAGGAAGTGAAGAGTAAGGAAAGTGGAGTTCATGTCGCTGGGGACAACTTTTTGGACCTTTTCCCCCACTTCCCTTTGTATGTTAACGCTAATCTGAACCTTGTAAAAGCACAACTTGCTGCCAAGTCAAATCCACGACAAGGGATTCTTCAGCTTTCCTCCATCAAAGTCGTTATGCAGAACTGTTATGTCCAATGAAAGCGGATGCTCAAACAGAAATATTACATTCTTAAGGAAGAACGGAGCAGTGCCTTCTGAAAATCTGAGCTGAAACAGAACCTCCCAAAGGCAATCTCCAATCACATCTTCCCTTCGCATTTCACAATCTTTCAGGGTTCAACCAAAATGGCTTCTATCCATCGGAGGAAGAAGAAACCTGGCGCCGTCCCACTAGCTACGTCCCACTCTATCGGTCTGCAATGACCTTGGAAGTTGCCATTCCTATGCGTGCGTGGATTACTACACGCACGGCCCGATGCGTCCACCGAAAATGTTTGGATCCTTAAACCCTTATTTTTGCCATTTTTATGAACCTTTTCCAGGTCATCTTCGGATGCGAATTCCGAACGATGGTGGTTGATCACAAGAAAACGGATCGGAGCTACACTGGATTACTCATCGATGGTGGGGCATCCGAGAGTAGGGTATTAGAGGCCCCTTGCCCGTGGGTGTGTCTCAACGGAGCAAGATAAAAGCTTCTTGTTTTTGTTTCTGTTGCTGCTCATGAGACATTAAAGCAACATTAATAATTAACTTTCACCACCCTAGATTGAGACTTAGACTGGGCTAAACCCTTATGAACGCTTTCCCCATTTCCCTCCCTCATTCGTTGCTTTAATTTACAGAGAATATTCACGTAACCGTGAACAAACACGCTCCATATGTCTAGATATAGCAATTAATAGATACCGTCGTTGTATTCTCTACTCGATCAATTGGCAAGTTTTTATTAATACTTGGCCCGAAAGGAAGGACAAAACAGAGAAGAAGAAAGAAGAGCCAATATTAGATAAATCATGACAAGGACAATTTAAAGAGCGTGTACGTAATACAGACAGTGATTATGCAAGAGATTCATAATAATTATACACAATCCTTTATTTTCTGCAACATAATGATAACGCACGAGATATTATGCATATGGACAGAATTTATTTTGCATCAAGACAAGTGGCGCCACATAACACTCAGGCTTTGGAAATGACACAGCTCCAACCTTCACCACATTTGCAGCAAGCTGTGTCACCAACCTCCTTCGACTCCTCTTTGCACACTTTGTCCCCCTCGCTACATGCCAAAAAACCAAACCCATAGCATTAATCATCCCATATGCTGCAATTAATTCAGTCGTCTGAAATGGGCATAAAGTATTGACGTACATAGTAAGTGAGCAATTCTCATCACATTTAATGGATTTTCCGGCATCTGGGCCTGAGGTCTTGGTTACCACACATGTCCAACCCTCTCCAGTTTTGCAGCACAAGTCTACTGAGTTTCCTTCAGGCGTCACTTCCCTGCAAATATATGATATTCAAATTAACCTCTAGTGCCATGAACCAGATATATGTGAGATACGTATAGCAGAGTTTATATTATGGCAGATCGATGAAGCTTTAAGGACTGATATAAAAAGAATTTCAGTAGGTAGAGGTTAGAAGCGGTACAAGAAGAAGGAAGATGAAGTTAGGGGAATGATTACTTGAGGGGGACAGAGCTCTGAGACTGAATCTCCATGTTCCTTCTTCTTCTTCTTCGATATATTTGGTTGGCTTTGAGGGTGGTCTCTCCTGCTTATATGTGGAGTTCTCCATTCTTTTTGCCGGCCGCGCGTGTGGCTCCTTGTTACGTGGACTTGTCTATTCTCATTTGGCCATTGGCTTCTATACGATTCTCGATCACTTCCAAACTTAGCCATGCTCTTTTGTTCCTTTTTGTTTGGTTAATTTGCTGGGGGAGAAAATTCTTTCCCGTCATGTGTAATGACGAATTATATATGACAATAATATTATTGGGATATCCACCCTCCATTGTGTGGATAAGGAATATTAAAGTAACATTATCGATAAATTAGGTAAGAAGATCATCATCATAGCAATTATGGAGCCCTTTCCTTGTTCCCTTGGGCTCTTTTTTGGTCCACATGTTTGGTCGCATATCTATGAATATTTATCACTTAGCTTTTAATAAATTTATAGAGGATGAAATCTGTCACCCTTCTAAGAGTGCCAATAAACATGGACGTCATGGATTGCTTAGAGACCCTACTAAGTTATTGTAATCCAAAAGCATTATACTTGCAGTCATCCTAAATACAAGAGTATGATAGCTAATTTGTAAAGATTAAAAAAAAAACTATTTATAAAAAGTATACATTGGTTTTCCTAAAATATTCCCTCAATCAGTCGTATTAAAAATCATCTTTTTAATAAAATCCCTTTAATACATGCAATAAAAATAAATAGTTGGATAAAGAAATTCATAAATTTGAGAGATAAATTGCATTGAAATTTTAAATTTAGAACCTGCAACTAGTTCATATATTTAAGACTGAGAAGAATATTTCTTTTGAACCATATTTATAAAAGTGATCCATCAGTTTGCGTCTATCTCGCCCTCTATGTAAAGTATTTCGGTTCTCGCCATGCATCTTTATTTTCAGTCTATTCTCCATTGATTCACATTGGATCTTAAACAAGTCTTTCGTTTTTTTCCCCCCATCGTCTCGTCTTACATAATTCCCACAAATAATATTTCGTTGATGAAAAGTTTATTTGATTAATTAAATTAAAGCATATTACATACAAACCTTGATTTGCTAGAAAATCACACACGCAAATACATGGGGATACATAAAATAACCAAAGTGAGGAGTTTGAACATACAATAATATTTCTTTATTTCTGCAACCAAAGTAAACCACAGACGCAAGCAGATAATTATATCAGTGAAGAAGCACCATTCATTTGGCCTCCACAGCGCAGGTGCAGGGTCCAGCGCATTCAAAACCTTTCTGCGCATCAGATGGCTGAACCCTAGAAATCACACAGCTCCATCCTTCTCCACACTTGCAGTACGCTCCGCTCGCAGCATCTCCTACCTCCTTCACCTCCTCTCCTGGCACTTTTGCCCCATCTCTGCATGCACCAGACAACAATAAACCCCTTTAACTTGGTGTCTTATTCCATTCCACTTTTAAGTAAATATATAAGATCTACTTAACTAATTGGGTAAACTAACAAAAGTAGTTAAATTAGTGATTTGTTAAAAATATGTGTTGGTTTTCCTAAAATACCTTCTCAAATAATTTGGTTTGAAACTATCACTTGATGCAAATTCCCTTAACATATGCAATCAATAAAATTAGTTTGGATGAATAAGGAGGACAAAATAAATTATAATCTTATATTTAGGATCAAATTCAACCCCTTACTGTGAGGGACAGGAGGTGGTATTACATATACAAATGTTATGAAAAATTTGAGGTGTAAGTTACTGCTGTAACATACATAGAGCAGTCGCAACTTTCGCCACATTTAAAGTAGGGTTTGCCAGCATCAGGCCCTGTGGTCTTGCTGATCACACATGTCCAGCCCTCTCCACATTTACAGTACACGTTGCCGAAGGTGCCTTCAAGAGGGACTTCCCTGTAAGTGCATGGTTGGTGATATGTATGAATCACAAGCGCATAATAATACACTTTATACACACACAGACACCCAAGGAACCTGAAGCTTTGGTAAGAAAATAAGATCTCAAAAGGTAAACTTTAATCAGAATAGATCAAGCGAATTGAAGTTCGAAAAGGAAACCTGATTTGGCTCTGAGACTCCATCTTTCTTCCTTAACTTCTCCGATTTGGTTTCATGGGACTTCCACCCTCCCCTCTTTATATTTGCATTACACTTGTCTATTCCACTTGGCAATTTCAAAACTCAAACTTGCCCTTTGGTCCTTGAGATTCAAGTCATAAAGTATTGCGGGCAGTTTCGTCAATTCAATACTCAAACTTCGTCTCCACTCTAGCTCAGGATAATATTATTATCGATCGATATTTTTAATTAACACATGGATTGTCGGGCACCAGAATTAAACTAATGTGGTCGAGTAATTTGGACAAGAACAAATGCAATATCGTTGTCGTTCCCATGTGCCCCATGCTTCTTCTTCTTTTTTTTTTGGTCCCACTTGTTACTTGGCCTCTTTCTTATTAACGTTTTTTGTATCAGACCCGTGTCTAGAGAGTTCGTCTGATGAATCAACACAGTGATGTCTATTTCAACCCGAAAATTTTATAAAGTCGATTATATCTTGAGACTGGATTAAAATTTAAAGAACCAACAAATAAATAACTTGAAGGGCTCGATTTTGTTTTGCGATTGGTGATTTGACGTGTGGTGTAGTTTTTTGGAGTTAAATTTCCTTTTGCATATGTTTTTTTAGCCAACCCTTTTGCATATGTAGTGTTTTAATACGCACACAGACTTAATCTTTTGACCAAAAGCAAGCTACTAAAAATGGGATCAGTGAATAAACTAATTAAGACAATGGTTTAGAAGGTTAATTCAGGGCAAACTGATCATTTAAAATAACTTAATTTAATTAAAATATATAAAAATATTATAACTGTGAAAAGAGTAATATTTAAATAATAAAAACATTAATTCATAAGTAAGTAGAGCATTCATATATAAATCATGCAAAATAAGAGGTAGTGAAAAAGAATTAATAAAGCATAAATACGATGGATTGCTATTTTTTAAACTCAAAACAAGGTCATTTTAATGTCATTATTGAATGAAAAATGTATAAAATCCAACATGGCCAACCAATTCAAAATTTTTAACTGGACCAACTAGGAAACTAGTTCGCTGCTTTGACCCCTCAAACCAAGTTGGATTTTCATACCATGACCCTAAAAAAACACAAGGTACCAAAAACTGGATTGGTCTAAGACAATAATTCAAAGGTTAGTGGTTCAACCCGAGATCAAATCAGTCATTTAGAATCATATAATTTAATTAGAATATACAAAAGTATTCATATATAACTCTGAAAAGAGTAATATTTAAATAAAAAGCCATTAATTCCCAAGTAGAATATTTATATGTAAATCACACATAATCCAATAAAGCACAAATATGATAGACCATTATTTTGTATAACTCAAAATGAGGTCATTTTAAGTTCAATAATGAAAAGAAAAAAACATATAAAATCCAACCCGATCAATCGGTTTAAAACTCTTAGTTAGACCGGTTAACAAACTAATTTACTGGTCCAGTCCCCCAAACCGAGTTGGGTTTCGTATCATGAGATAGCATAATTATTAATACTTTCTTATTAAATATTCTCACGATAAAGAGATATCAATATGGCATAACTTGCAAATGATCTTCATGATTTTTTAGCTGACTAATGATGACTTTGTTGACGTACATACTAATAAATTGGTATTTAATAAAGTTTTTTACACAACGGAAAATATTAGCAAACTTAATTTCACTGAACTAATTGTTGATTAGTTGAATACTTTAATTCAATTTGTTAACACATGCTCTGGCCAAAAAAAATTGCTTTCACATGATCATTGTAATTTCTATCATGAACTTGCCTGTAGTTTGATTATGGCCATATTATGAACATATTTTAATCTTTTCAATATTTGAAAAGAAAGGCATGGTTTTAACTATTATAGTTGTGGTGAACTTGAAATAAGATTTTTATAGTTTTTTCATTAATAAATTAAGCGATAGAGTTGTGGTCAAATTTTAATTAATATTTCCAAATTCCAAATACAGTTGTCATATTAGCGACACAATTACTTATAAGGATTTTAATTAATGCTGATGATAATCCCAAACGATGAATTCCTTAAATAAAAAACTATAGGAACTTTTATACAAATTGATCACAAACTCTATAAAATATGGCTTTTCTATTTAAAATTAAAAGTTTGAGTGAAAAATATAAAAAGAATATTTATTTATTTGCGTCATGCATGACGTGAATTGAGATACCTATATAAAATACCCCCCAAATTGATCACAAACTCTGTAAAATATAGTTTTTCTATTAAAAATCAAAATTTGTATAGTTACTATGTGAAAAGTATAAAAATTCTTTATTTATTTGTGTCATGCATGACGTGAGTCGAGAATACTTCTCATTTTTTAACCTAAGTGTCGGTGGACTTTGTAACTTTTTATATTCTATTATTTTTTTTCTGACCCCCTTTTATATTTTCTTCTTTTTTTTTTTTAATATTTTCAAAACCTCGTACAATGTCCATGCATGTTCTAACTCCAGAGATCATAGACAATAATAATGGATGCGTATTATATTATCCATGGTAGTTAAGTAAAGAAGAAGGGGCCCAAATTCCAAGTTTATAAATTGAAAAAATAATTCTGACAAAGCGACTTTGATTGAGCTCAGTGGTCCTTAAATTTGGTTTAGTAATACTGGACATCAATAATTGCATAAAAGTGTGTCTACTTATCAATTACGACAACTAATCTCAAAAGAATCCCATCAATAATTGATAAATCAACAAAACCAAGTCTGATATAAAAAAATCCAATAGGTTGAATGATTGATAAGTAGTTGTTAATAATCGAACATATTATTTTTGAATTATCACATGAGACCCACATTATTACTTTAATTAATTAAGCGCAGCTAGGGGTGCTTTGTGGCTCTTCAGAAAAATATATATATATTGCCCCGAAACTTTTTTTTATTTATATGTCGCATAGAAGACAAGGGACTTATGGGTGAAAACCAAACAATGTACTCCTCTAGTTCTAAATGTAAGACCCTTATACATGTATAAAGGTCTTACATTTAGGACCAGAAGAGTACTATTTATGATCTTAATATAAAAGTTACTTGACTAATTTGAGAAGATTAAGAAAATTTATTAAATTATTTATTTGTAATAAATGAGTGTCAGATTTTCTAGAACTACTATTTAATGAAACTTTTAATATATGTAACTACTTTAAGAACTATTTTGAAAAAATGAATAAATATAAGAGACAAAGTGTATTAGAATCTTATATTTAGAATCAACTTAAATGTCAAAATAGCTCTTATAGTAAAAACCGGATTTTAAGTAGGGAGAAATTCTATGAAATTCCAAGTGAGGAATATAATTACCAAAACAAAATTCTAGATGCAACAAAAGCAATCTCCAATGACAAGTTTTGAGGTAATAAATGACACTACTCATTTGTCATTGAGATTTAATCATAATTATTTTCTTTTCTTAGGATTTCATTATAATCCTCTCTTTCAAATATTGGGTATATATGCCTCCATTTGTTAATAGTCTTCTAATCAATGAAATTTTCCTAAATGTCGATTTGGTACAAGCGAAATTGAGACAAGGAAAGAAGAGGGGTGGAAAAATTTTAATGCACTCAATTTAAAAAATTAAAAAAATTGAGTTAAAATTTTTGAATTAATTTTTATTACTCTTTTATATCTTACATCTTATTTTTATTAAAATTTTATAACCTTAGTTCTCTAATTTTTTTAAATCGAACTCATCAAAATTGTTCCTCCCTACAATTTTTCTCATACCAAACACAGGATAAGAGTCATTATAGACTAAACATCCAAATTAATTCACACGATTATTTGTTTGATGTGTTAATGATTCTCCCATCTACTAGGGGCAAAATGGGGTGTTTACACTTAAGCGGTGTCGTTTTGGCATTGTCAGCAATGGGCCGCGCCTATGTATTGGAAATGGATGGTACTCCTGATGCTGGATTGGGCTTCCGTCACACTACATATGGCCACAACACTCAGCCTTATTTAGCCTAATAACTGAGCTTGAATCTTTTTGTTTGGGGGGGGGGGGGGGGACCTTATTCGGCCTAATAACTGGAGCTTTAAAAAAATCATACTGAGGATATTACCCGTAATTTGCATTTGGGTTAATATAATTTTTAGCCTCTTAAGTTTGTACTCATTTTGGTTTTGATTTCTCAAGTTTCAAACTATAAGTTTTGATCCCTCAAAAGGCAAAATAATTTAAGTTTTTATTGGATTATGGGGACCAATGTATTAAATGGAAAAATTTGAGAGACAAAAACTTACAGTTTGAAATTTGAGGGGTCAAAATCAAAATAAGGACAAGTTTAAAAGATCAAAGGTTATATTAACTTTTTGGATTTTGACACGATAATAGCCAAATATGGCATAGTTATACAAAAATGTGATGTGTTAACAATCACAAATGGGCTTTTCATGCAAATATATTTTGTGGAAGATATGGCCGAAATCTGAAATGACGACCCTTTTGTTGAAATATTTTGGGGTCTTGCTTAGTTAAAATGCTGTTAAAATGCAAAGTAGTATATTGTGTTTTATGATGTATGAATTGATGGATTTTGAATATAAAATTTGCGAGCAATCAAATATTTAGAGGGAATAATAATAGAGAAGTTATGCATATAATTTTATACTTCTTCTGGCAGACAAGAAGTTCTATATATATATATATATATATATATTCAGAATGAACATGATCAAATTCATAAATCTCAGCGATAGCTCAACACCACCTATATATTGTTTTTAAGTAAAGTAGCAGTAAGAAAGAACAGTATAATTTTACCAGATCTGTCCTTAATTTTATGCTAATAATAAATACTCCCTCCAAACCTTTATACAAGGCATCATACAATATATTCATTACATCTTTTCATATTGTTCTTATTCAATGTTGATTTTATTTTTTTTCAATTTAAACCATATGAACTCAAATAAAGGTAAGATTATAGAAACTTATTGATTTCAAGACAAAATGAGTGTTAAGCCTCTCATTAATTAGTGCCAACGATAATGTTAAAAGTGTCTTATAAAAAGAACAAAAGGAGTAACTACTAAACACTTCGCATGCGCAAAATCAACCCTCAGATGGCTCATCAAGATTCATATATAGATAAACTCCCAGCTAACTAATAGCAAGGATTAATTATAAGGGGATTGTTCGAATCATCAAAAAATTGTTGAAACAAATATCGAAGTGCTAAATTCCTACCGCCATACGTAGAGTCTTGAACGACAATTAAGCAGACTGGCTCGTCTCACAGATGATAACGTCAGAAAGACGTATAGTGGGAATAGGAATGGTGTCATCAAGCACAGGCGTGGTGGAAAAAGAAAAGGGTAATTTCCACTTATAAGCAGAATGAGATGGATGGGTCCTACGCTTCACCTATTTAATTAATTTGCATGTGATCATCCACTAAATGCTACGGAAGCAGTTTCGATCTATTATTGCTGCTCATAGCGTGTGTGTGTGTGTGTGTGTGTAAATATAGCAATGGTTACATATCCTTCAACTCTCCAGAAATGAGACTTTTGAAGGGCCATAAAGCCTTGTGATCTTACACATTTCTACCTTATATATGTTGTTAGGTAATTTGCAGTCATGAGCTACCCTATATATATTTTTGTGTTTAATTAGTTAATTGATTGGGTTACTTTATGCATTGTCCTTACACGGAATTCTCATCTAAGCTCTATGTTTTACAAGAAGTCGATGGAAATTTTTTATCAGAGGAGAAGAGTTTATTAATGCTGATTGGCTGGAAGCCACTTATATTGCCAAATCAAATAATGGCAGAAAGTATTGGATCAATCTGCTGCAAGAAGGATATATATATATATATATATATATATAATGGCCACGTAAGAAAAAGGAAAGGACATGAAAATTAGGGGAGAATGAATACAATATTTACATAGGCCATGACAGTAATAAAGCAACAAGTAATAAAGGGAGGGTGGTGACTTATGAAGATCTGATCAGCACGTCTTCCTTTAAGTTATAATTACTTGTTCAAATCAATCTCTAACTATCCCTTCCTGGTAACTAAGGAAATTTCGATGTTGTGAAGAAACAAGGCTCTTTTATTTGTCTTGATCCTAGTACTCCAATTTATGATCATGACGATAACGTTTACCGAAGGGCCAATATGACCTGGTGTCATAACCATATATATAGTGTGAGACTGTCTAATTACTGTCTGCAAGAAAGAAAATTGTCAATGTCGAGGAAAACTTTTAAAAAATGTCTCCCAGTAAATACATTGAAATGACATTGACCAAACCCCAAGTGCCAATTCTAAAGTGAAATTAACTTGAATTTGTCGGTGTTAAAAATCCCATAAAAAACTATATGCATGTATAAGTATGGATGCATGCCTGCATGTATTAAAAAGAAGTTTATTAAGCTTAGTAAAGTTTAAGTAGGACTATTTATTTTGAATACCTTCTTAGTGTTAAGAGCGATTAATTAAATAACTTAATTTTTCCATAAAACTTCAATGATGGGCTAGAATTCTAAGTGAATATCTGCAAAATACTCTCCGCCACAATAACGTACAGCAAAAGTTGCCAGGTCCTCTGGCAAGGCAAGTTGGCAAATAACAAGTGTCCTTCATTTTGCTTCCCAGTCCACATGTTAATATCAACTAAATTAAGTATAGGTAAGGTAGCCATGCTATACGGTGTGTGTGGTCATTCAAAAGCACATATATATGATATTTGTCGCAGATTTGAACTAGCCGGACAAGGGAATTCTTAACCAAAACGTTACAGGGGAACGGATAAGACTTTGCTTCCAACTAATTTCTGTTCAGTGCATTCAAAGGTTCAACTATGTGCATTATATTTTTCAGTTTCTTGTGGCTTCTCATTTTCGATCATTCAAAACATTTAACTACAAAAATTAACTCCCTTTTTTTTTTTTTTTGCAAATCTGAATAACTATTGGATTTCGAGTCTGCTCTTAATGGCCAGGCCATAATATTTGATGAGGCTAGCTACCTGGCTGAATTAAATAATATTAAATTCATAATCAATTAAATAGGTTTTGACTGAGTATATATAAGATAATATTTGAATTGTTCTTTTTTAATTACGTTATTCAAAAGATGAATAGAATATGGTGTATTTTCTATCGTAAATATTTCAACTGTCCACTTTATAAACAATGGTGGCCACCATGAATAGAAATGAAATACATCAGTGACTCTCTCCCTTCTCCCCTTCTTTCTTGTGAGTTGTAATAGAATAGACTAACCCTCTCACCCTCTAGTAATTTTCTGACAATAACAATACAATCATATTTACTTTCTGGGAATTGAATGCATCATGTTCAGGTGGCACGAAAGTATATGTGAATTAAATAAGTTGCTTACAATAACTTGCTGAAATTTCCTATATTTTGTTTAGGATTAGGTAATACCGTAACAGGTACATTCCGTTAATAAATGGAAAAATACATCAATAGTCCAACTGGGAAATCAGTTCGAAGGACGAGCTACCTCTGGCTTCATTTGTAACGATCCAAAAATCAAACTCTTCTGGGCGACAGCAATATATAGCACACTATAGTGCAAGTGATGTAGAACTCATACTTGTATCGATCGGACTGCCTTGTCGGGACATGCGACCTAACTTCACTTTCAGCAATATACAGATACAATATGTGTTTTTGCGTTCCAACACCCTTCCCTACATATACATATCGATCTTCTCTTTAAACCTAAAACCAACAATTGTTGGACTCCAACGCTTGAGTATATTCCCATGGCTACAACTAAACTTGTCGGTTTTGTGTTCTTTGCTTTCTTGGGTTTAGCTGCATGCTCTGCCGCTCGAACACTCCTCACTACTCCCAAGGGCGATGTCAGCTCTGGTCTAGGTCAGGGCAACCACGATGTTGCTGCTGGAGGTTATGGCGGTGGAGGAGAAGCTGGTGGTGAGAATGGTGCAGGTGTTGGTGCCGGATATGGAGCTGCTGAAGGAGGGGGGCGTGGTGGTGCAAGTGGAAATGGCTACGGGGAAGGAGGAGGTGCTGGGGACGGCGGAAATGTAGGAAGCACTAGTAGTGGAGGAAGTGAAGGCTGTGGCACTGGAGGTGGTAGTGGTGGAGGCGGAGTCGGTGGTGCAACGGGATCTGGCAGTGAAAATGGTGGAGCTGGAGGATATGGAGGCGGAAGTGGCGGTGGCATCGGAGGAGGGGGCTCAGGAGGAACACAAGGAGAAGGATCAAATGGGAGTGGCCAAGGAGTTGGTGCAGGATATGGTACTGGAGGCGGTGGTGGAAGTGGAAGTGAGGGCGGCAGTGGAGGCGGTGCTGGAGGAGGTGAAGGAGTTGGAGGCGGATACGGCGGTGGAGGAAAAAATAGTGGAGGATATGGAGGCGGAGGTGGCAGTGGCATCGGAGGAGGAGGTTCAGGAGGAACACAAGGGGAAGGATCAAATGGAAGTGGCCAAGGAGTTGGTGCAGGATATGGTACTGGGGGCGGTGATGGAGGTGGAAGTGAGAGCGGCAGTGGAGCTGGTGCTGGAGGAGGATACGGTGGCGGCGCAGGTGTCGGATTTGGAGCTGGCCGCGGAATTGGCGTAGGTGGTGGATATTAACCTTGAGTTGATGGCGCGCCATAATATTAATGTGGCCTCTCATCCTCATGTATATAAATATATACATGTGTATAAAGTAACAACAATAAGGAGGATATTATCTTGGTCAAAAAAATAAGGAGGATATTATGGGGCGCTCATATTAAACCATTCAGTGATACTTGTATATATTGCTACGTGAATGTCCAGTTGAGATGGTCTCAACTCTCAACAATACGTATCAAATTCCACAGTTTCACAGGTAATATAGTTATCGAATATATAAAAATATATATACTGTATATGCATTATTCGATTTCATTTTACAATAATCTTCTATCATAATCTGTTTATATGTAATCTTAAACACGAAAAAGTAGTCAAATCTGAACGAAACGAAGAGCACCTGATTAATTAGTTTCGTGTTACCATATATACAACGAATAACCAGGGCATGAAAGGAGTACTCCATATATTCAATTGTTTAAATTCCTGAAAACTATGTGAACCTCCCGTACTCTGGCTCTTTTAATATTAATGATAAGTCATTTTAATATTAGTCATTTTGTAGCTCTTCATTTATTCAGTGCTTATCATAATACTCATCACTGTAATGCAATCTAAACCATCCAAATCTAATATGAATGGTTCATATTTAAAATTTTAATATACAATTTTTCCAATGATAAATTTATTTTTTAAGGATATGTTAGTTATAATATTATATTTATTTTAAATTCTGTATCTACTAAAGCAAAAAATTGATTAAAATATATAAAAAATTTAAATTCAATCTGAACTATCTAAAATCAATCTGGATGGTCCAAATTACGATGAGCACTTCATGTTTATCATTGTGCTGAGCATAGAATTTGCTCCCGTCTGTAAGATATCTGAACATTGATTATCCACCACTGGTCCTTTGACATTAATTATAGGTATTCTGGAAAATCTCTTCCTCATGCTTATTCTCATTTTCTTTGTTAAAATGACTTTTTGGCGTATCAAACATATATATATAACACTATATTATCCCGTATTTCCTGAGGTATTAGGAAATATATGCATTATCTTTGGAAATCATGTCAAATTCCCTAAAATTAATTAATGTGCTCATTAAACAATGGCAATATCAGAAATCATTGGAATTTTATTTTATCAAATAATTTTAAGGCATGAATACGATAAGGAGGATTACATACATCTGATATATATGCTTGATTAATTACTACTAAAATAAGGGAATTGAATCATATTTAACCAAATAGGATGCCTATAGCTTGCCACTTCATGGTGCAGCACAGAAGGTAGGCGGCTTTTGATAACACGCACATACGTCAACATCACAAAGTGCGGTTTCTTCATCAGTGCAAAAGAATATTTGTTTAAGCAACCAATTAAAAGAAGCACACAGTTGGGGATGCATGTGCATCGATCTTTCTAAAGGTCGTTGCTGACGCTCATAATGACCTCATAAATAATGTTCTACACATGCTCAAATACTACTATCTTATTTGTGAGCATCATATCATACGTATGCATAGCATGCAGTTTAATGCTAGTTATTAGTAATTGGTTCCATTTTATAAAAAAAAATCCAATTTTTGAATGCCAATGTGGCACTTGACGATATTGCAAAACATTTCAAGAAGAAAGACCAGTATGACAGAGGGTCCCGAAGGTCGAACCTGCATTTTCTGGTTTTATACTCTTCGGTAATTGAGCAGAAATTGAAAACTATGAAGTTTCCGATAGGTTTATGATCGCATTCCGTAAGCTTGCATGGAAATACTTGTGCAATAAGGTAAAGAGACGCATGCAACGTTTATGGTATTGGTGATTCCACACGTAAAATTTTTGGGAGGAATATATAATTAATTAATTATGATTTTAAACCATACCAGTAAAGCATGTTCATGTGCCTTATAATACCTTTAATTACCTTTTCTTTTCTTCATCTTGACGTCGGTCAATATATACATATATGTATTAATAATTCCTATCTACCTTGCATCTGGTGAAGTTTGGTCTTCCAATCACCTTCTAATTCATGCAATTTAATTGATCTCTTGAGTAGCATATGTGTTAAACACACTCCTTGACCGGGAAACGGCAAAGGTACCAAGTAATCACTATTTGGTCTAATGGAGAATATATATTTATATATATCTCTATACACACACAGACACATAAAATACTGAGAGCAATTTGCAGCAGAAAGTTGCGAGTCGGCAGTAGCCAGGTGTGGCAGCTAGAGATTTAGGCAGGGGAGGATTTAGTGGGGAAAGTAAGATTTGTGTCTAAAGCCTAATAAAAAACTCTCACTGAACATCTATATGTATGAAAGAATTGGTGGAAAATAATTGAAGAGAATAGAAGAGATATGCAAAATGATATATGGTGATGTGGAAGACAGCAGAAGCACACAACAAGGGGAGTGAGTGGGTTAGTGTGTATATCTTTGTGTGCTTGTATATTGGGCCACACTGTGGGGTCATCCAACTTCTCGTACCATGTGCCCTTCAACCACTTATTCCTTTATACGCGGCTTCATTCCCTATATATACCCACCCCACTCCCTCCTTCGCTCAACCAAGTTTCTGGGATTTCTTCTTTTCCAATCCCATGGCTCTTCACAGAATTCCCACTCTTGCCTTGTTTCTCTTGTTGGCTCTGGGCTTATGTTCTGCAAGGAGGGCCCTTCTCACTTTTGATGCTGGCTATGGCGGAGGACATGGAGGTGGCTCTGGTGGCGGCGGCGGCTATGGAGCTGCAGGAGATCATGGAGTTGTTGGCTATGGAGGTGGTGGCGGCGGTGGAGAAGGTGGGGGCGTAGGATATGGTGGTGCAGGTGGTGGTGGTGGTGGGCGTGGTGGAGGAGGAGGGGCTGGCTATGGAGGTGGGGGCGAGCATGGTGCTGGATATGGAGGTGGGGGTGGAAGTGGTGGTGGTGGTGGTGCTGGTTATGGTGCAGGAGGGGAACACGGTGGTGGTTATGGAGGTGGTCAAGGAGGTGGAGCAGGGGGTGGCTATGGCGGTGGTGGAGAGCATGGTAGTGGCTATGGAGGAGGTGGTGGTGCTGGTGGCGGATATGGTGGAGGTGAAGGAGCTGGTGGAGGCCACGGTGGTGGTGGTGGAGGCGGGTCAGGTTATGGAGCTGGGGGAGAGCACGGTGGTGGTTATGGAGGTGGAGGAGGAGCGGGAAGTGGTGGAGGTTATGGAGCTGGGGGAGAACATGGTGCCGGGTACGGTGGTGGCGGTGGAGCAGGAAGTGGTGGAGGCTATGGCGCTGGAGGAGAACATGGTGCCGGTTATGGAGGTGGTGGAGCTGGAGAAGGTTATGGTGGAGGAGGGGAGCATGGTGGTGGTTATGGCGGAGGCCAGGGTAGTGGAGGTGGTGGAGGATATGGCGCCGGTGGAGAGCATGGCATAGGGTACGGAGGAGGAGGGGGAAGTGGAGGTGGTGGAGGCGCCGGCTATGGTGAAGGAGGAGCTCATGGAGGAGGATATGGAAGTGGCGGAGGAGCTGGTGCTGGTGGGGGCAATGCAGATATGGCGGAGGTGGCGGAGGTGGCTCTGGCGGTGGAGGAGGATACGGGGCAGGTGGTGCACATGGTGGTGGTTACGGAGGAGGAGGTGGACACGGTGGAGGCCATGGTGGTTATTATGTTCACTATCACCCTTGACGTAAATGGAATCTGCTTGGACGCATCAACATTCAAGAATAATTGAGTAAAAATATATTGATATTATAATCATATTAATAAAAACATATGTTTTTCGCTTTCCTGGTATTACTATTTATATGTAATGAAAATATGTCTACCATAGATAATTGCAGTATCATTATAATATTCTGAGCTACGCTGCTTCTTAGCTGATAATATTAATATTTACACAAAAGTAAATTATCTCATTTTATTTTTGGGTGCCTGATCAAAGTATAATTATCATTAATCTTATTCATACTTTGTTCTATCTTCATTCTTATCAAATTAATTCAGAACACTGGAATAGGATAATGCTTAATAATTCGGAATTTTAATTTGTCAAACTTAATTACCAATCAATGGATGAAACTATAAATATAATATAAATTAATTTCCCCAGCTACCATACAGTGATTTTTTTAAAAATATAAGATCGTGAATTCTCAATTCTCACTGTAGATGAAGGGCCATATGAAAACAATTTGCATATATACATTAAATTTAGATGTATACATTGATTGATATTTACAATTTTCTGTCACATGTGCTGCTTCCAAATAAATGAAGATAAACCACCCAAGAGAAATGAGTTTAATAGTTGTGGTTTGGCTGGTATATATACTAGCTCTTTCTCTTCAAAGATCTGTAAATGTCTGCCATATTGATCGGAATAAATTATGTAAGAATATATCATGTGCTCAAATAATAAATTTGACATGATCCACTTAATTGAAAAGAAGTGTTAGAAGTTTTCATCTTTTAAATAAATAATAGTCGGAGGTCTGATTTCCAACCTCTATATAAAGAACAAGACTAATTAAAATATGTTCGTTTTTTCTCTCAGTATTCCAAAGAAGGTTATAGCTACTGTATCGGCATAAGAAAGTACTACTTATCCATACAAAAAATGGCGATACTATTTAATACAAGATTTAGTTTGTAATACTTTATATTAAAAGATGGGAGCTAGTATCACTGGCCACTTGGCTGACTAGTATGTGTGCGTAAGTGGGTGTACGTGTTGCCGGTTCGAACCCCACCTCTTGTAAGTCCAAAAAAAAGAAAAAGGTAGTAATAAATTTGACGTGATGCAGAGTCAAATCCAGGAAAACTTCTATGCTTATAGTCGAGGTTATGCTCATCAAAGTAGCGTCGCTTTCACCAATTCCAATATGTGTGATTTAGGACCGGTTTAGAACCGGTTCACGCAGTTTCACTTGGGATTTCAATTCATGATTAGCATCAGGTAGACACATTAGTCATTTGAGCGCTGTGTTCAAAATTCCACTGAACTACGATCCTCTTTTCAGGGAATAAATCGCAAGTTTAGACGTACACAAGAACCCATTTGACATTTATTAAAGAAACCAAATGCTTCAAGGTCAGGTCCTGAACACCCCCCATAGATATTAGTACGTGCATCTTCTTGAATGACACTTGGTAGCATTCAGGACACAGATCCCCACAACTTTGCTGGATCATGCCTTCTTGCGGTTTCGGAATCAGTCAACAGTCAAATGTTATATTCGCATATTTTACCATCATGTTAAAACCTGAGGTTATTACGTTTAACTAGCAGTTTTTTTTCCCTTTTTTTTGTTTGGGGGGGGGGGGGGGACAACATGGCAACTGCACACGTCAATTCTACGCCGATTTGTATTGCAGAACTCGCTTGGTGATTAAATTCAAGAATACGAGCCAGCAGAATGCCTCAAGCTATACATTTTTGCCTGTATTTATCGACAAGATTTAGCAAAATGAAGGCAAATTTTCACTAGAACTCGGTAAAAGTTCTGTTTCCAAAAGACGCTAGTTACCCTGACAGAAGCCTCAGGAGAGTTATCTCGAAGCACACATGACAGAACCATGATTTGACTTCTTACGGTCACCAGGAGTTATGGATTTCTTGCATTGTAGACCCAATTTCTTCCTCTTTTTTATCGAATAACTTTCATGGGAGGGCCCACCGGCCATGGCACCCAAGAGTTTTGATCTCCTTGAACCATGCACATTCTTGCTAAGATATCTCATAGCTTCTTTCCTCTCAGAATCATCCACATTCTTATTTAATAGTCTTTTACCCCTCTCATGATTCTCCGTCTTCAAATGATCCCGTGGAATGCGGCAAGTGACATCTAAAAGCTCTGACTCAGATGTTAGATACCGTTCCAAAACATGGAGAAAAACAAAGCATTGAAAAAAAAAAAATTAATTTTGGCCCCAAAAAAAGTTCATCAAGTTACCTGGAGAATTAGAATCTGGACCTGGGGAGCTGGGTGGAGTTAAAGGACGGAAACCATCATTCTCTCTAATATCAACAGCCTCCTGATGACCTTTTTCATCATGTGAGGACATGGAACCATTTCCCTCATTACATGGCACTTGGACATCGCCGGTTTCTTCTTTATAGCCGTTAGAACTAACAGTACTTGGATTTAACTCAAAGTGAACTTGTCCAGCTTCAAGATAAGAATCCATATAATCATTGAGCATTTCATTAAATCCTCCACTAGAATAAACAGGCATCTGCTGGGAAACTCCTTGGGATTCATTTGCACCACCACTTGCAAAATTTGCCTCGCTAGGATTAGGACAATACGAGCCATCAACATTGTCTAAAACTGACTTCGGAGAAGTATTAAGAACACTTGGGGCGAAGCATGGGCTTGAAGCATCCATTATGGCAGATAGCCATGGTGTGCCCTGTCGAGCATAGAGTAATATGTATGCTTCCTGAGACAGCACAAAATCTCCTGCAACCCTAGTAACCTACAGAAAAGATCAAACAAGAAAAAAATTATTCACCACGAGTAAATAAGAGATCACTTAAAAGGCAAATTTCAACTATCGCATCTACCAATACGTTGACATTTATGCGTGCACATCAAGAAGGAAAAACATGCCATTACGAAATCTTGGCAAAACCCCTTTGCAAATCAATAATATCTCTAAATCTCCTAAAGGAAATAATTGAATCTCAATAATATATAAATCCTTTACTGTAAAGGGCTCCAGAAAGCCCCAAATGTAAGGAAGTAATAAAGAGAAAGAATGATATCCTATGTGTCATCTCATTTCATAGCAGAAATAAATCCTGGCAAGGTAAGCAGGGGAGAGTTTAATTTTTAGACATTACCTTGGAATCATCCAACCGATACCACAAGTCAGGTGCAGTGCGGACAAAACAAAAGTAATGCCCAGAAGTAGATGATAGTCCAACATGCACAACAATGGCATACAGGTCATACCTCAGAGCTTCCTGTTATCAGGATGGAGATTCAGACAATGCTAAACAATAAATGAAAACCAGAGCTCTCCAAAACCATAATTTGCAAATGTCAGATGAAGGTAAAAGGGGGAGAAATGCATAACAACTCACATTATTGCTCTTGTTACAATTGGTATAAGGCAACAAATCCAATTCTAGAGGGAAATCCACATGATTATCAATCTTTTCAACATATATCCCATCTGTCTTAAATCTCTTTAAATGAAATGTTGCAACTGAAGGTGTCTGATCCAAAATAAGCCTCTTCTCCATGGATACTTCTTCCTTGCAGCTATCACATATAAACTTAGCATCTATCTTTTCTACCTTAGTGAAAGACGCTAAAGCACTTGGAAGGCTATCCACATTTTCTATCTCCAAGCTTAAGTCAATGAGAGGCTCATAAGTGTCTGAACAGTGGCCACAGTTACAACATTGAAGCTGAAATATGAAAGTCAAGACATGAAATAATTAACAACTTAAACACTATGAACCTTGAACAAAAAATCAATTTGCATAACACTAATTTAATTAGTTAGAAATAAACAATTTAAAAAAAAATAACAAAGGGAGATTTCTGTCATACTTTGCTGATGAGGCGACCTCCAAATATTTTCTCCACTAGATTGTCAACTTGTTCCCAACTCTTGCTATTTCTCTTCAAATCTAGAAAGCATCTTTCCAGTTTATCTAAGAAGCACTGCAGGAATTCATGGGCATCCTCCTGCTGGTATCTTGTAAAAAAAGAAGAAAAATCTATAGCCGGTCATGGAAAACAGCATTTTAAAGAATAAGGTACTCATCCATTGGAGCCGGGCTTGCAAACAATTTGGTCCTTATTCATTAGCCATTAATATCATCTGGAAGCCTTTACACCAAAGAAAACGCAAAGCTCCAATATAGACACCTAACAATTAGGTCCTTATCCATTAGCCGTTGATGTCAACTGGAGACCTTTAAACTAAACTAGACACAATATGTAATCAGATATAAATACACCAAATAACATAAATAAATAAATAAATAATAACAATAATAATAATAAATCCCAGCTACTGTTTGAGGTACATATTAGCATTCACATAGACATGCATGCCCAATACATGCAAGATTTTCAGAAGCATTGCCTAATACTCCATACCAATCATTGGTAACATAACTAATAGCAACAGAAAGATGCAGGAAAAGTTTATAAAACCTTAAATTGTGGTAAGAAAAGGATACAATTCAAATTGTCAACAAGTTTCAGAGGTGACAGAATTCTTCCAGAAGACTTCAACGAAAGTTCAATGTGATCACGAAGAACACAAAGAACACAGAATCCACCCATACCACCTGAAACTCCCAAATCCAAAAATCAAAACCTCACAATAAATACAAGATATTATGTGCACTAAATCAAGAATGGCATTCCAAATAAGAAATAAGCCTTACTTTCACAAGGTGCAGTATGACTGCAAGTACAAAGACCCCGAATTAGTGGCACAGTATGAGTGAGGCATTGCAAGATAACATTGAAAAAGCATGTGTTGCCAAGATTTTCAAGCCCAGCACCCTGTGATGCAAATAACTAATCAAAATCCAAGAACCACAGGACTAGTATTCAATCATCTTCTAGACAGACATAAAGGAACATACCACCGTGAAGGGTACAATTCCGGAAACATTAAACCCATTGTTCAAAGGCGTGCCAGTATCTTCAGATGGAACCAAGATCTCATCAGAAGTGAGCTCGGAATTCCAAGTTTCTTTTGGGGGGAGCTGTGAAGATGCGGGCCACGAAGGCCACTGCTGGGAAGACGATAAAGGTGGATAATATGATAAATTGTTTACCGATCGAATTGGCTCTGGAACATCACCTCGATCTTCCCCACCGGAATCACAGAATGGGAGGTAATAGCTATTCTCATGAGCCGTTGCCATGGGCAGTGACGACTTGTCAAGAGTTGATGACTGAGGCACCAAAGGCGCTGAGATTTCTATTGATGCAGAAGTGGAACAATCATCTAGGGTTTTGGAACCTAAATAGGGGTGAGATGCACCCACATTGGATGGTAAGGACGCATTGATCCGCTCCGTCTGGGCTTCACTGGATGAAGACGCTGAAACCCCCATCTGATTTGGCACATATGGAACCAAAGAAAGGCCATCAAGACTCCTAGAATGCGAAGACGGTGAAGACCCAGTTAGAGCTGCCTCCGAAGCCGGCATCTCTGAAATCGTTAAAGCGCCGTTGAAGGGTACTCCGCCGAGAACAGAATCTGAAAACCTAGCTTGGAGGATTTCAGGAGGATGGACGTACATAACGAAATCAGAATTTGTGAAGCGAAGCGGGATCGTTGGGCAATGGCGAAAAGAGGCGGGAATTAGGGCTGAAAGGTTTTAAGTTAGGAATTTGCAAGGGTTTGGGATTTAAAAATTGGGGGAAACTGAAGTAAAACGGAGAGAGAAGAAGGAGAGGGAAAGATGAAAAGTGTTCAAAACCAAAGAATTTTGAAGAGGAGAGAGATTTTGAAAAGAGAGGGAAAACGATCCCCAATTTCGCATTTGCCCCTTCGCACCAAAAATTTCAGGAAAGGGACATTGCGCGCTCTCGCTCTCGCCCCCTCTCTCTCTCTCTCACGTTCTGCCAACTACACGCGAACATGGTGATCGAGGGCCTTCTCCAAATAATTATAATTTATTATTATAATAATAAATATAGATGTATAAAAGACCATAAAAATCATTTTAAATCATTTGAAAATTATCCTGATAATTCGAACGTTACAAATAAGATGGCCCTGGAATTAGAGATAATTAGATATTTTTAGAGATAAATAATTAAAAGAAATGAGACTCTAAATTCATCCAAAATTATCACCTGTCAGATCAGATCTATCCAAATCTCTCATATTTATACTCATTGAATCGAAATGTTAATTAAACCAAATATACGAACATTCCAACCTTTTCCTTTTATTGCTTATCATTAAAATTTAAGTCCAGTGAAATTATTATTTCTTTATGAATCAAATGATATTTTTACTAATAAATGAGTTAGCAGCTGCCAGCTAGTACAACCCAAGCCTATTTCGTGTTGGAAAATCCTTTTTTTAAAAATAAGTTTTATTAAAAAATGCTTTTGTCCCTATCTGTAAATTGACGTTTGTGTGATACTCTTCCAATCCTTAATATAGCACCCAATTCTTAAGTTGGTTTTGGTCTTAAATATAAGACTCATTTCTTATATTTATCAATTTTCTTTGAATTACCCATATGGATATCCCCTCAATCATAATCAAATAGAAGAGGAAGAGGAGGTATTAAGAAAAATGATTATGGTGTTTTAAGAAAAACATGTCACTTTTCTTATAATTAACTAACTTACCTCACTTCCTTAATTTAATCAAATTAGTTAAATGGGTCTTATATTAAGGATCGGAGGAGTACTACCTATGGTTTTTAATATAAAATCTTGTTTGACTTTTATTTTGGTTTTAAATATAAAACTCCAATTCATTTTATCTCTCGTATTTATACATTTTTTTTCCAATATAGTCTTTCTAACAATAGTGGCTATAGCCAATACACTTAATTAACAAGAATATTTTAGAAAAGACATCACATATTTATTACAAATAACTAATTTAACTCCTTTTCTTAATCTCCTCAAATTAATTAACTAGCTCTTATAATTAGAATTGAAGGTAGTACTAGTATGACTTTGTTTAAATAAAATTATTTTTAACACAAGAACAATTTTATTAATATTGAAAAAAAAAACAAGAATCTGAAAAACACTTTCAGGCTTTGGATTCTCTTTTTCTTGTTCCCTGTCTGCAAGAAAATAATTAATTTCAAATCATCCCTAGCCATCCAAATAATGAAAACTAATTAAACACTCAAATTTTATGCAAAATAACAATTTCTCCCCACAACAAGGGAGATTCATAGTCAATCAATTCACTATTCATTTTTCCTCTGTTTTTTTTAATATTAGGGGCAGCAATTATCAATGTTACAATTTTCTTTATTTTGTTCTATATTTTTTTAATGAATGCCAACCAACGCCATTAAATTGACAGTGATTATAACTTTTCACGATACATGTTTATCACTGTAATATATAAATTCGTTACAAACGAATTGGAAAATTCCTCCCCACTTATGTTCTGATACTAACAAATAGCATAAAGATCAACCATTGAAATTTCACCTGACCAAAAACAAATACTAAGATTTCACCCCCCCAAAAAAAAAAATTCAATAATGAGAACAAGCAAATGTTTTTCTTATTAGAAAGGCATTGTGCCGTCAAGCCAGAACGTTCAAATTCCTCTCCTTTTTTTTTTTTGCTGGTGGATTTGAAATTTGATTTCTAAAGCTTTCATATTTGGTCTGATGATCACATCCGCATCATCAAGTTTCAGGTTTGACAAACCCACACTCGGCCCGCCCATAAACAAAGAAAAACTTATTCACTCACAAAATGGCCCAGCAAAATCAGAAATGTCTACGGGAGAGTAAACTTCTAACTGATGCAGAGGACATCTGTGTTCGTTTTTTTTTTTTTTTGACCTGTGTTCGTTACAACTTACAAATTTGCATGATATTGACTAATTTAAAATACTTGAACATATTAGGAAGCTCAAAAGTCAAAACAATACCTGTGCTACATATATATATATATAGAAACAACCACCTGCGACAAGCCTGAATATTATAATATCTTATTTTTGTTTCTTAAGAAAAAAATTGTATATTGAGCTCTTCTATTGCATTGGAAACATAACTGTCTGGTATCTGGAATAAACAGCAAAGCCTTTTCTGGCAGACAGAACATAAAGGATTAGAGGATTCTGTCCTGAAGGTCTGTTATCAAAGTGGATGCCAAAGAACTCAGCTTCTTCCCAGTCTCTCCGGCAATGTTTTTGATAGAAGAGATATCCTGCTGTGCCTGTAAAACAAGAAACTCAATTACCACCACGACACGGAGCACAAACAATGACAAAACAGCCAAGTTTCAATTCATCAATCTGAAAAAGCATGCCTGAAAAGATAGACGATTGATGAGGTCACTTGCACTGATATCAATGGAGGGATCTGCCGAATGACCAAAAAGATCTGCACTAGAGATGGCAGTTGAACCCTAAACAAAACAGGAAGATAAATACTGTTAAGACTCTATTGCTTTAACATCAAAGCTTCTTCCTGCTATTAGGATGCTAAAACCAACTACTGCTTAAGTATTTGATCATGCTTGGTACCCAGTAAACTCTTGAAGAAAATGAAGAGAATTTTCTTCCATAAGTCATAGAAGGAACTTCGCCCTTTTAGGTTATGACAAACATTGTAATCAATTTCACCACGTGATCAAGGGTTCGCTCCACAGCGTCAATGATGAGGTAACAAGTGAAATTGCGCATGGAACCATGCAAAATCACATGTAATTTTCTTCTTCTTCTTTTTTTCACAGTAATTTTCTTACATCATTGCGCAACCATCTAAGAGGACCTTGCGGATCTTAACAAGTTCGAATTTGCATTTGAGTTCAATTCAATATAACTAGATACTGGCCCGTGCATTAGGTGTGTTTGGGAGACAAGCTGGAAGTATTTTTCCTAAATCCAACAAATTGTTGGTTGGGAAGGTAACCTTTCTGCTACTGCTAAACATGATGAAAGTTCTTTTAGGAAGGTATCCAAACACACTAAGTATAGGAAGTCAGCTACACTATATAATTCTTAAAAAAAATATATTTTTTATTGATGATCTTGATAAGTTGATCCCTTAAGCTCCCCATTGACAAGAGAGAAAAATAGCCAAGTTAATTCCTAAAAGCATAATTAAGAAAAAACCAGCATTGGTGATGCCACAATTGTGGACAACTTTTCCCAAATGATGTTTGGAAATAACTCCAGGCCTTCTTCCTGTTTCAGTCATGATAAACAATGATCCATGCCACAACGACAAATAATTTGCTGACCATTGCTTTTGTTTCAAGTGGGGGAAAAGGGAAGTTTGAGAACACAAATTCATATATTCCTGAATTCCTCCGTCTCATTTTAATGTAAACTCATTAATATATCTCCAGGCCCTTCACATTCTTTCTATCATAATATGAGTTCCAAGCTTAGAGGAACTAATCCTGAGAAAATAAAGGGGGGAAAAAACCGTTGAATGCAAACTCAATACCCAAAATCTCCATGCTAATATTAGTCAGACAAATTGAAAGCGGATTATTAACAGCAAAAATAATTACCGAGAACTTTGCCAAAGTAACTTGACTGTCCGCATCTGCAGCTTTGTTCTGATCTCCAAAAAATTGGGCTGAGGATATAGATTTAGCATTTGAGAACTTCTTCCTTGCTTCATCAGAATCCTGAATCTGATAAGATATAGAAATTCAGAATTTGAAAACCAAATATGAAGTAAAATTTACATTCATCAGTAAGAACACTTGTCTACATATTTTATATATGTCTTGCCAGAAATAAAACTGTCAGCTGAGATAGCCATGTAAAAATGTTACTACCTCTGGTTCTTAATATAAGACCTCGTTTGACTTTTATTTTGGTTCTAAAAATAAAACCCTAATTCATTTTGTCTCTCATATTTATGTATTTTTTTCCAAGGTAGTCCTTCTAACAATGGTAATTCTAGCCAACACACTTGATTAGCAAGGATATTTTAGGAAAGACAACACATATTTATTACAAATAACTAACTTAACTTCTTTCCTTAATTTCCTCAAATTAGTCAACTAACTGTTATAATTAAGACCGTAGGTAGTATATAAGACCTCAATGGCTAGAATATTAACTCTATCATTATTTGAGGCAATTAGCATATTGAAGCTTTATTTTCTAAAATGAATCCAGGATTTTTTATTTTTTTTTAAGGTTCCTGCAATCCCCCCATGATTCCATGGTTTAGCATATTGCAATTTAAAAATTTTCCAAAAATTCTCCCACTACGTTAACCACACAATACCATGCAAGATTAAGATATCATGCCATCGTCTTATCAAGCACGACATCCCAACTTGTATTCATGTCACTTCCAAACTGATCATTTATGCTGCTCCTTGACAGCTACAGACATGCATGTTAGTGTTACAACATTCAACAAACACTTAGCATGCAGATTCGTTCATACGACTAGACAGTATGCATCTTTAGTACATGCCCACATGAGATCCTGAAACGAAACTTACTAACAAGATTATAAGTTGAAGCAAATCTTATCTGGCCAACAACAAACAAAACATGCTCTTAATGCATTCAAAACATACATAACATGCATATCTTTTCATATATTTAATCTAGTATGCATTAATGCACAAATCTAGACGCATATGCCATAGTTATCCCTGAAAGCAACATTCAGAACAATTCAACATGTGGATGTATGTGGTCAAAATATCCTTACTACATGCAGTAGTTACACTATACAGAGACAAATGCAACGGTCCATACAACTTACTTGCATTTTTGAGGAGTTTGACCCAGACCGTTTTGGGAAGCCACTATCCATACCAAAATCAGCAAAAAAGCTCGATGACTTTGGTGCAGCCACATGACTGAGTACGTGTGAATCTCCAGCAGAATTTAACTCAGATGACTGGAGATTTTCAACGTACTCAAACCGAGATGTCAAGGATGGGCCAGCCGCCAAGGCATGGCTTGATGAGGAAGGAACGGGAGCAGGTGCTTCTTCTGGCTTCTGTTCATATAGAGATTCACTTGGCTGTATTTCAACAAAATTATTCGTCATCAGAGCAAATCTTAAAATCAAGCAGAGGAAAAAAAATGTTCAACCATTGGAAACTTATATGATGCCTTTTTCATATAAAATATGGGAACAAGACAACTGTATGCATACCTTTTTAGTAAGCTTCCGAGCACCAAGGCCCCCAGTCTTGCCAACCTTTTTGACACCAATAGGTTTCTTGACAGTACTGGAAACTGTTGTATGAGAAGCTTTAGGGGAAGCAGTGCTCTCAGGCATTTCTGGCTTTTCCATAATGTTCTCTTTTGGCGGTTCATTGGTTCTGACTTCAGGAAGTCCATTAGCTACTTGTGTAGACTGAGAAGCAACAGGTGAGGATGGCAAACCTGCCTCCTCTGCCATACTTTTAGCTACTTCCTTGGAGAGAAGTTGTCTATACAGCTCTGCAGCTCTAGATGTATACTTGGCTTCAATTTTTCCACCATCAGTCCAACCATGTTGCTTAAAGAAAACATGTGCACGATTGTTTCCTCCAAAGCTCATTGTTCTCAGCTGCTCAGGAGTCCATGAGTCTAAATTTGTAGATCTGCATAGAAAGGACATGGTTATCATGATTCATGGCATGCATCTTTCTTCATTTTCCTTAAATTCTGCTACTTCCTCCTTTTTTGTATATCTAACAAAAAAACTGGGTAAGGAAATCATCAAAAGCAAAGCATACACAAGGATGGAACATTATTAATCAATGATACATCATACAACTACCAAGCATTTCAAATTATTCATTCATAGGATGTGAAAATAATATATACCCGTCCCATAATCAATAGGGTGAAAAAAAATTTTGGCAGATATAACTATTCTGTGTCATTAGAAATAACAAAGGAATAATATATAAAGCTTTTTCATTTGCTCCAGGTTGATTTCGTCTATTGACAACTAAGATGCCATTCAATTTCATAGATGGTCCTCTAACCAGCCACTAGCTCCCTCAATAGATAGAAGAAAAGGCAGGAATAAACTTCAAAACAAACCACAAAGGAACTCGCCAGCTATATACTTGCAAATAAAGCATTAAAGCCCGTGACAGAGACAGGCTAGTCCTGATTCCCATTAGATCTCCAATATGAAGCAGGCAAACCCATTGAGGAAAAAAATTACATACAGTCATACACTTGCATGCCTCCAAAATTTCATGGCACAGAGATAATATCTGCAATCATTTCCATACCCTATAACGACACATGAAATGATATACTAAATGCAGAATCCAGATTTATAGCCACTGTTGATATGAAATTAAGCTTGGACAATTCAATTTGCAAATTAGCTAAAAGTGGCACCGCACAGTTTTAAATTCATCGACATGCTTAACTCTTTAGTGTGAAAAGGGAATCCTCCTCGCATTGCAACACACGACCCCATACACAAAAAAGAATGGTTTTGCTTACGAAGCAAATCAACGACTTTCAACAGCCAAATAAGCAAATAAGAGACACTCGCCTCCCCAAAAGAGACCAGATAATTCAACTTGCCTCACAAAGCTGACGTGCACACCAAGGCTGCGATGAACAGCCGAGCAATCGATGCAGAGGAAGATCCCATATGTAACCGACGCCCAAGTTGGATTCTTTGCATTGCAATCGAAACACATCTGCAATACAAGCAAAAAAATTAAGATTTCAAATCCAGAGAAAATAAAGCGCAGATCTGAACCCGATCTCGCAAAATCCACAGCAATGAAATGACACAAAGTAAAAATCATAGAAGGAAAGCAAAGAAATATAAGATTTAAAGGAAGCATAACATGACGACGGGCCCGGTTAAATTTCAAAAAAAAAAGAAAGAAAGAAGAAAACGAACCTTGTTATCGGACTTTGCCTTGAGTTTTCTGAAGACAGCATTTTTGTCGGCAAAGCTGTCGGAGGCCATCGGAGACAGGAATGGGATCGGGAACGGAGAAGGAAATGGGGGGTGTAAAAGGATATCCCTCAGGGGTGCTGGAACACCGAACACCTCCTGAGCAATACAGGGCTAAAATGGCAGGGGAAACCGCAAATGGGGTGGCTTTTATTAGAGAAAGGAAAGTGGAGAATTAAGTGACGAAAATGCCCTCGAGCAAGAATTGAGGGAGTTTCCAGTTTCGATTTCTGGGCAGTCGGTGAATTGTAGTTGTCTGTATCAAGCAAATGGCAACATCAAAGCGGACAAATCATAATTTATTGTGAATAATAATACAATAAAAAAGACACAAACGTCGTCGTCCTCTGTTACGCACGGGGTGGCAGGCGAGCAGCTGGTGGCTGCAGGTGGCGGTTGTTACCGGTAACAACGTTACGCCACCGTAACGCTTTTCATGTTCTGGTGACGTTGACCTCGTTACTGAGTCACCACATGGAGGAAACCCCCCTTGTTTTTCTTTTGAGAAAATGACCATAAAATACAATATAAAAATCAAAAAGACAAAACAATCATTTAAATAAGTAAAATGACTAAATGGGCATGAGATACTAATATGAAATTTACGTTTTTGGTGTAAAAACTGAAATGTCCTGATTGTTTTTGAAAATTGAGAAGTGCATTTGTGTGATGAAGAAAGGGAGAAACTGACTTCCTCCACTTGACAAAACTAAATCCAAGTTCCTCTAATAATCGAAAAGGGTTCTTTGAAATTACATTGCCCTTGTCGCAGGAGTAGATTATCGTCGTTGAAGTGGGTTACCGTCATTGAAGTACATTGTTCTGCCTGAAATAACTCGTACTCCCTGATGTTGCCGTTGTCGAGGAGGTCGATGAAGTAATGCCAACTGTGATAAACAAATAAAAAGTTTGAATATTGTTTTTCATAAAGCATTTTCAATGGGTCCCCAAAGCTTAAAATGTTATTGTCTAGCATTCCTCTTTCTGGTTTCGTGTTTGTTCTTCGCATAAACCTGTTTTCAAGGAATGTGAAGCTACCTGATTTTCTAGTATTATTAAACCATTTGCCCTGAATTTTACAAAATACATACTAGGATTTACAATTTTCGTAGTGAAAGTAACCACTTTGTTAATGAGTTTTGCAACATGTTTTCAGGAGATAGGTAACTTGTTTCTAAAAACCAATAAAATTCCATGTTAAATTTGATAAAACACATAGTGAGATTTACAACTTTCATAGTAAAAATGATCACTTCTTCAATAGGTTTTGCAACCTGTTTTTAAGAGATGGACGACTTGTTTCTAAAAACCAATAAAATTCTATGCTGAATTTTACAAAACACATAGTGGGATTTACAACTTTCGTAGTGAAAACCACTTCTTAAATGGGTTTTGCAACCTATTTTCAAGGGATGGGTAATTTGTTTCTAAGAATCAATAAAATTCCACGCTGAATTTTACAAAATACATAGTGGGATTTATAACCTTTGTAGTAAAAATGACCACTTCTTAAATGGGTTTTGCAACCTGTTTTCAGGAGATGGGCAACTTGTTTCTAAAAACTAATAAAATTTCACACTGAGTTTTACAAAACATATACTGGGATTTACAACTTTTTTAGTAAAAATTACAGCTTTGTTAATAGGTTTTGCAACTTATTTTTGGGAGATAGGTAACCTGTTTCCGACCACTAATAAAATTTTACACTGAATTTTACAAAACACATAGTGGAATTTACAATTTTCATAGTGAAAGTGACCACTTTCTCAATGGGTTTTGTAAACCTATTTTCACCAGATGGCAACTTATAAGCATAAATAAACCATTTAGTTGACGTGCACTTGAAGTACATCATAGTAAACATTAAACCATTAACTTTCATGATTAACTACATGTGTGATGAAATATACCATTCACATAATGGTATTTACCAAAAACTAACAAGCATATGACAGCAGTTACATTACGTAATTGCTTACCACTATTTTCTGATTTTTGCTACATCATTTACCAAATACTAAATATAAACCCTCAAACCCAATAATCCTATCCCTATTTCACCATGAAGCAACCAAAAAAATGAACAACCCAAACCCCACCATCAATTTCTCTACTCACTTACGTAATCCTACAAGTTTACTCCCTCTCTTACTACAAACCCTCTTACCCATAATCAAAACCCAGCAAATCAATAATATCTATAGAATGGTGATACAGAGGAGTAAGATAGTAGCATTTCTAACATTTCTCTTTCCTTCTATGTGTGTTTCATCAATATCTTTCTCTGTTTGCTTTCTTTTCACCTTCAGCTTCTTTATCTCTCACTCCATGGACATTTCAATCTCTATGCCAAAAGTAAAAATTCCAAATTGGTACCTCATGTCCATTTAGTCATTTTGCTTATTAGAATGCCTATTTTGTTTTTTTTTAATTTTTATATGTATTTTGTGGTCATTTTTCCTTCTTTTTTTTTGGGCCAAAAAGATATGCGCCTCTTAAATGGGGATTCTATTCTTTGTGGCTTCTTATTTTTGGGTTGCCAATTGGGCTAATGCTGAATGGATTGAAGCCAGCAATGCTATTACGGGTTCTTCTTTTTTTTCAATGAATATATAGAGCTTTTTTTGCATCTTCATCTTTAGCCCTTTTAAAAAATTTATTTTTATAGTTTTTTGTACCAAAAAAATTAATTTTATAGTTTTGACTTCATTATAACTCAGATCTTAAATTTAACTTGACGCAGTTCATTTTAGCTATATAGTTGACTTAGTTGAAACTCAGTCCTTAAATTTTAACTCGCTGCAACTCAATCTATATGATTTTAATCATTGAAAACTTTAATCTCTAAGCTCAATTAAATATATAGCTTTGTTTTCTAAAATATATGCACTAATATTTAAATGACTAAATTATGGGGATTAAGTTGCAACTGGATTTTTTAAACTGATTTTTGTAATTTCTTGCCTCCTCATAAAGGGGGTCACACTGACCAGGCTCGGATGACTATTTACCAAAAACACAAGTCTTTGCAAATTGTAAGACTGTATAGAGTTGATGTCTGCTTAGTGCCGGAAAGTCAAGGAAGTTGGTGACCTGATGATAGGGGAATCGATAACAGAAATTACTATCAGTAAAATGATAATGCTCTAGAATGAATATGCTCTAGGCATGTGCTCCTCTATTTATATGTTGTAGTGTACAATCATATATGACATGTGTCCCATTGGTGGGAACAGTTTAGAGATACAAATGCAAAAAATAATACAATAATGAATATTATTTATTCTTAACTCCCTCCTTTACTTTAAGGTTCTTTTCTATTCCTCTCCCTTTCACCAAGAATCTGACTTGTTCTTGTTGGAGTTGTAATGACCCCTAGCTTGTCTCTCAAATACCAGAATCGTGCATGCTAAAGAGGTTTTGTAAGACAATTAGCAATTTGATATTCAATAGGAACATATCAAACACTTAATTGCTTTGACATTACTTGATCTCTTACAAAATGAGCATCAATCTCAATATGTTTAATCTTGGCATGGTGTACAAAATTGGAAGATAAAGCTACTGCACTAGTGTTATCACACCATATGATAGGTATATGTTTGAGTTTTAGGTGGAGCTCAAAGAGGAGAGACTTAACCCAACAAAGTTCTGCTGTAGTATTAGCCACAGAGTGATATTCTGACTCAGTACTAGATCTAGCAACCACTTTCTACTTTTTAGATGACCAACTTATAAGAAATTCTTGAGGAACATACACTACCTCCAACAGATCTTCTATTATCAGGGCAAGATGCTTAGTCAACATCAGAGTAGTCAACAATATCAAGAAAAGTTAATGGTTTAATGTGAATACTATAGTAGGTTGTCCCTCTAAGATACCTTAATACTCATTTCACTACTTTCCAGTGTTCTGTTATTGGTTTTGAAAGAAATTGAGTTAGCCTTCCAACACTAAAGCTGAGATCTAGACGTGTATTGCATAAATATTGCAATACTCCAACAGTAGTCCTATATGTAGAGGGGTCTTCAAGAGGCTCTCCAGAGTGTATTGAGGCTATAGGAGTTTGACAAGGTGAGGCATGACTCATTTGGAATCTGTCCAAAAGATCAGAGAAATTCTTCCATTAGGTTAGATACAGCCCAGATCTATCTTGATATGCTTTGATTCTAAGAAAACAGTGAAGGGACCTAGGATCTTTTAGGGAGAAAATACTGTGTAGTTTTTCAGTGAAACATTTCAGACTATATGAGTTACTCCCTGTAACTAAAATATCATGAACATATATTAATATCATTAGTATCTAATACTTGTCAAAATAGATGAACAAAGATATGTCACTTTTAGAGTTAATGAATCCCCACGACAACAACACATTTTTGAGTTAATCAAACCATGCCTTTGGGGCTTGCTTAAGGCCACATAGGACCTTGGACAATTTGCATACATAAATGATGTTTGGTAGGGTCGATGAAACCTTCCTGTTGCTTCATAAAAATAGGTTCAGTAAGAAAACTATTAAGAAAAGCATTGGTAATGTCAATTTGCTTAACTTCACAGCTAAGAGAAATTGTAAGAGCCAAAATAAGTTGGATGATAGATGCCTTTATAACTGGACCAAAAGGATCATACAAGTCAATACCTTTAGTTTGTTGAAACCCTTTTGCCACCAGTCTTGCTTTCCTTTTTAATTTGCTAGAGACCCATCCGGATGGAACTTTGGTTTGAAGAGCCACTTGTTTCAAAAACTTTCTAAGTCGAAGGTCTAGGGACTAGGACCCTTGTCTCATTCTTCTTTAAGGCAAGGAACTCATCAACCATTGCTTGCTTCCATAGTAGGGAATGGAGTACCTCCATGGGTGATTGAGGGACTATTTCTACAGTTTAAGTCAAGCTAATGTAAGATGCTCCAGGTTTATAAATGCCACTCTTACTTCTAGTTTGCATAGGGTGAGTATGTAGGGTAGCATGTGATGAGTTGGCTTGGGTAGTAGTGGCTAGGTTTGGTATGGATTGTGTTAGGAGTGATTTAATGTCAGGTTCTCTGGTGGCATTTGTGAAGTGTTTAGTGTGTCAAAGGTGGGGGCTTGAGGAGGTTCTAGTTGT